TACGCTGACCCCAAGTAGGCCTCGTGACGAACGTCACCGTGCGCAACATGTATCTAGACAACGTCAGTATTCCCATGCGGATCTACCAGACGGATAGCGGACTCCCGTTAGTACATATGCACTCTTACCCCGGAATGCGCTAGCTGATGTGCCAGCAGGGGCGACGCGCCATCGCGGTTGCAGTTCGCGAACCCGACGTTTACGAACTGGATGGGGACGACATCTGGGAGCACGAGTATGCGCGATCCACTCCGCTTCGTACATGTTCAAGCTAACGGCGATGAACAGTCATCGACTTCCAGTGTAGTCCCGCCGCCCCGTGCCCAGGAATGGTGTTTCAAGACATCACCATCACAATCCTGAGCGGCGAGAGGCCGACGTATGAGTGCGTGATCGTCGTGAGTGAGCAGGGCCTTCCCGGTATGTGTCAAACAGTCCCAGAAGTTGTGTCGTAGCTCAGAGTGAGTTAAGGTGCAACGCCACCGTCCAAACTTGATAGGTCTACTTTTCGAGTTGGCGTTTTCTGCAATGCATATAAGCGATGACAAGATATCAGTTGCTTCCGAATGACGAGCACTTGCTCACTGATTTATCCGCCGTTGCTAGATGGTAGTTGTACGATCTTGTGTTAGGTGCGCGCCCAAATGACGTGAGGGAATCTGTCGGACTTTAAGTACCATTGGATCACTGCTCAGCCCACCGCTCGGGCCATGCACGCAGCCTTCGCATCCCTGCGAAAGGATACGGCAACTGGTTATTGTGTAGAAATTTGACTATGGCGAGGGAGGTCGTTGGTAAGGGAAAGGCCCTACGATTTACTCATAGATCGTGTTGTGTTGGACAGACCGTGTGCACAAGGGACAGCATAAGATTTAGAGGCACCGTCTGGTATGATGCGGGCGATAGCCCGGACGTGATAGATGAAGTTGAACGTCTACAGCGTTCAAATACTCCTAAGTGACAGATGGTGGTATCAAGGATCATACGGCCAAGGCATGGAGTCATTGATCCCTATCAAATCGCTTAAAGGCGTGCTTCTCATATTCCTTAATCCTCGTCCTACGCCTCTTCGGTCTGTGCATAGCATCAAAGCGTCAGTATGTAGTCTGTATGTATGCGAGAGTAGAACTACATACAAGACAGGTACACGGGGCTCAATAAGAGCGCGATGTTGCATGCTGAGGAAACGATCGCGGAATAGGTTGCCTTCGGGCTGTACAAGACATCATTAGTACATAGCCAGCCAAAAGACAGAAGAGACCACCGACCTTTAATGCCCTTAAGCTCTCACTGAGATCCTCACTGAGTTGTACCTCTACTTCACCCTCGGGTACTTTGTGTTTCCCTAACTTCTTGCCCGCCAGCCCCTTCTTAAGCTCTTCCTCCATCACTGCCTGGCGTTGTGCACGCAGCCGCTCCTGTACAGCAAGGTTTCTGCTGAGAGCTTTCCTGAACGCTCTCGCCGAGTCAACAGAGGCGAGCATGCGCTTTTTGGCAATTTTATCAGCGATCGCGCGTCTCTGTTGAATATGTAAAGCTCGTCAAGATACAATGGATCAACTCAGTGGGCTTACCTCCGCACGCAGACGGTCGGCCTTTCTCCTCTGTTGCTTTGTCTTCCTATCCGGAACCTTCTTCACAGGTCGAGCTTCCGAGTCTGGCTCCCGCGCTGTGGAATCCACAGTATCGTCGGCATTCGAATCATCCACCTTCATCCCCGAGGCTACGCCGTCAATCTCTGCAAAAGCTGCAGTCTGACGTCCCTTTTCAATCTTTTCCTTTGTCTCCTCCAATTTTGACGCTTCTCGCAGACGGCGTTCTTCAATCTCATGCGCTGTCCGCAAAAGGTCCAGGTGCGAAGTGACAAGCGGGTTGTATGACGTCCCTTCATGTGGAGAAGGGACGGCTGGTAGTGCAATTGAGGAACGGGGATGAGGAGTTCTCGGATGCTATGTGAATAGAGAACCATAAGGCTTCACAACGCAGGAATCAAGATGGGCATGATCTTACCTTGGCTTTGACGGCGAAATCTACATCTTGCTCTCCCCACACATTGTAACGCCCACTCTCCCTCACAGCTTCACTCACCTCGAGCATCGCACTTCCGGCTCCAAATTCCGTCGGGTCCATTATTGCATTGAAAGGACCTCTACTAGGCCTCTTGCCCATCCGGAGCAGTCTCCCCTTCTCTTCATGTGTGAGAGCGGTTCTCTTCTTTGAAGCGGTAGGGCGCGAGTAGACGGCAGGAACAGCGGAGCGTTGTGAGAGGATTTTAGTTGAAGTCAGGAGGGAGGTGGAGAACTTGGGAACGGATCTTCGAACTGCGATGTACGCGCACTGAATATGGCTGCATAGTCCGACAGGAAGAAAATGCACCCACCACGTTCATCTCCCTTCACATCGACCTGGAATAATTCGTCGTTCGTCTTCTTTTGCAGGATCGACCTATGAGCATGCGTACATGAAATTCCTTCGCCCCGTTGTCGATAGCATTAGCGATGAGAGAAGGGCCGCTTACCCTGTGATTCTTTCTTCCGCCCGCAATCCCTCCATGCCTTCCTCAATGTCTCCAAGGTCAACATTTTTTCTCCAGGCTTTCTTCCCCTTCCGACTGGACTGATTATGTTGGGCAGGAGCACCGATGGAGCTTTTTTGTTTCATCGTGCTTCGAAAGGCCCGCAGAAAGGAGTGAGTGCTTCTGTGACACTTAACGACTTGCAATACTCTTGTCTGAGAGAGCCGTTCGATTTGTGCAAGCGCCGAATAATTGCTCGATCTACTTGGCGATGAAAAGAAAGATCGCTAGCGTCTATATAGCTGGATGTGGTGACATAAGCACATGCATTAATGGGGTAGTGGTAACCTGGGTCGTTGCCATCGACCCGCCGGGGGTTCGATTCCCCCTTAATGCAAACTGAACTTCTAGAATAGCTCCAGGCATATTTCTTAAGTGTGACTATATCCATTAAGTCGTTGTTCTGTCTTTTTCCTGATTTACCATAGTTGGAGCGCGGCACACTGACCAAGGTTTGTCATGTTTTTTAGTTATTGAACTCAAGATTGATCCCGCGCGGTCATGTATGCGAATCATACATGTTCCGGAGTCACTTGACACTTCAAAGCTCAGGCGAGACATAATTCTAGGCGGCAGCGAACATAGCTAGCCGAGTAATTCGGAACGGCGAGATATCGCGTCTCAACAAGTGGAATGCACTGCTCCATTGCGTACTAGATAAGGAATAAGGACGAGAGTAGTACTGCAGTCTACGTGCGTAACCAAGCAGTCTTGGCGATTTTCTTCAATCTCTTCTGCTCTTTGAATCGCTCCTAAGAAAACAGGTAAGCTATGGACAGAGGAGATCGAGATCACAACATACCAAATCCTTCTTGGTTGGTCTCTTTCGTTTCTTAGATTCCTCCTCTTGTGCCTCTTCGAGCTTGCGCGACTCTACCTCGCGCTCCCATGCATTGACGTCGAAGTAGAACTCGCTCATGCGTTTTGCGCGCTCGTATTCCGACAAATGCGACGGATCGCGGCCATCTGGCTTTGTGAATGCACCGGTACGCGCATTGAATTTGGCCGTGTAAGTAAACGCCGGATTCGAGGGACCAGCAGCGAGCGAGGGGTCGAGATGGGCCAGCGAGGGATCGATGCCCTGTGCAACTGCTGCGGCCTGAAGGTCGTACATGGCAGACATAGATGCAGAAGGGGTTGGGGGCATGGAGGTTGCTGTAGGGTCAACGGAAGCCTCCTCGGCGGGCGCAGGCTGGAGCGGATTCGTCCATGTGGTCTCGCCGGACTTGGTGTTGTGGAAGTAGTAGGCATTGTAGTCGGGTGACCAAATAGCTTGCCAGTCGCCATTGGTGGCCGTGGCTGTCGGAGGGGGCGAGGCACTGCTCCCAGCAGCAGAGGTGGATGCAGCGGCCTGCTCAGCCTCTGAGTCTTCCTGGGGCGGAGGCGAGCGGCCTGCAGAGTCGGACTGCTTACCGTCTACATGACCGTCGCTTTCGCGAGGCTGGGGGGAGGCCGTGCCCACGGGGTGAGGGGAGTCGGGCTGCGACGACATCTTGGGTTGAGAACAAGGTTGGGTCGATGCGCATTCGAACTCCGACCACCTCCAGATGGCCTGGGCGCCCTTAGCCCGACACAACGTTCCGATCTATATAGACGTACCGCCACTTTGACCGCCACCCGCCTTAGGTGTAATAGCATCCCTTTCCCCACACTCCCTTCCAGACCCGTCGCACCCCTCACATAGGAATTCAGGTCTCTCTCCCTTGCCTGCGCATGAATCACTCACTAACACCCGCCTGCATATAGCTACACTGGTCGACCCCACCATGCCTTCCTCCCCCGAACGTGAACATCCACAGTATATTCCCATCCCAGGGCAGACTCTACGCTCCGCGATGAAACATCCGTCTCGCCCTTCCACTCCCGTACAGTCCCCAGGTTCTCCCTTCCTGCGCTCTTCGCCGTTGCCCGGGCCCACATCTCTCCTCAATGTACCAACTTCGCCTTCGTGTTCGCCTTCCCAGTCTCTCGCCACCCATCAAGACCCACCGTCATTATCCTCGTCGCCTCTCATCCCACCACCCTCGCCGCTCGTGGCAGCCCAAGGTTACACGCCCAAAGTCTCCTTTGACACGCTTGAGAATCCTCAAGCAAGCATGTTCTCATACACCCTCCATGTCCAAAGCGACGGATACGCGCGTAATCGCGGCACGCGGGTCTTCCTGTGCGCAACCAGTCCGGACGAAAGCGGCCGCCAAGCGCTCGACTGGGCGCTCGAGAGTCTCGTTCAGGATGGCGACGAGCTCATTGTGTTCCGCGGTGTCGACACTGACGAATTGGGTAACCGTTAGCGACGTCATCTACGAACAGCACTGACTGAGTCCGCAGATAAGGACCATGACCAGTATCGTGAAGACGCACGCGAGCTGATGCGAGTCATACAGGAGAAGTGCGTTGAATACGATCCTGAACGGAAGGTACGCTGGTGTGGTCTCTCCACTCTCTCAAATACTGTCATGTCATTTTCCTAGCTTTCGATAATCGTCGAGTACATTGCGGGTAAAGTACCTCAGACGATTGATCGTCTGATCTCACTCTATCGCCCTGATTCTATCGTTGTGGGTACGCGAGGCCAGCGAGGTATGATGCAAGCATGGGGTGCCGCGTTCGGTACGCCAGGACGGATAGGAAGTGTCTCTAGGTGCCTGTCTTGTCTCATATACTTCAACTTTACCTAATCTGTTCTTTCAAAAGATATTGTTTGAGCCATTCCCCTGTCCCCATTATTGTTGTAAGACCTGAGGACAAAGTGCGGAAAACGATGGCGAAACGCCGCGCGGATCCGAAGCGGGGTCAGCATTTCGATGGGTATGTATAAGGTTCATGAGAGTCTGTCCCGTTCCTCACAAGGATCCCGTCCTTAGACTTACGAAGACGCGAACGCACAGCGGTAGCCTTTCCGTACCTTTTGTTGCAACGATGACTCGGTAGTTTGGATATTCAAATTTTTCTTTGGCAGGTCCCCTTTTTTATGGTACTGTACACTATGTTTAGTTTAGCTTATGTTATACTGTCGAAGATATATCGCTCATCCAGGATGATGGGCAAAAGGGATCTATTCATATCAAGCATGATATTCAAGGAATGATATAATTGATGTCAAAACATTCATGCACTGGAGTGTAGTGTACACTGTAAGTAGGGCTTGTCGAAGTAACAAAATTATCCTGCATTAAGGGGGAATCGAACCCCCGGCGGGTCGATGGCAACGACCCAGGTTACCACTACCCCATTAATGCATATGTTATGGACATATACATGCTCTCCATGTATCTAATACCCCTCGAAGTCAAAGATGCGTACTAAATGTAATTTACCGAACATCGTACTTCATGAGCTCCATACAAACAAACCCCTACATGAGCGATCAGCACTGGATAAGAATTGGGTATATGGTCCTAAGTAGAAAAGGCGCATCGAAGGTCTATGTGGCTGTCCTGCGGGTGGTAACTCTCGTCCTCGCCGTCCTCGTCCCAGCAGCGGGCGCCACATCCCCTTCCGCTGGTTGGTCTTCCGTCACAGCACGACTTCTCGTCGCGCTTCTTGTCGCCTTTGTCCTAACCGTAGCCGCGGCCTTCGAATTTGACGCACCTCCTCTCACACCCGTAGCGCCCACCGCAGGCTCATCCTCTCCTTGTGGCTCTGGTGTATTCTCCTTGTCCACTACTTCTCCGCCTTCTTCTGCGGCACTGGGCGTCGACTTTCCTGAGGATTCTTCCGCTGCAGCCTTTTTCCCAGCACTAGTCGTCGCACGCTGAGATCGTGTTGTGCTCCTACTAGTGCTCCCAAGGACCGGTACAGGAGTCCTCCGTCCGCGGGCTGATCGCGCTGCCGTCGCGCGCGTTTCTGCCAGCGGGGCAGGCGGAATAATCGGGGTGTCTGTTTCTTCTTTGATCGCCCCCACTGGAATCCGGCTGCGCGCAGTACGCCGAACCTTTGCTGCAGCCGGGACTGTCTCTGTGGGGCCAGCTTCGTCATCCTCCTCTTCCAACGGCTTTGACTTTGCACCTCTTTTTACTGTGCTAGGTTTCGCCGGTGGACCAGAGGGCGGGTCAGGCACCACCGGCGTCCGAGTAACACGCGTCCGTCGTACAGCTTTAGCAGCACTATCCGCTGTGTCTTCCACCGAAGGAGGCGAGTGTGTGGCTTTACGTGTACGACGTATCGGCTTTGCGGCTGGATCTGCCTCGTCTTCATTGGGTACCGCGCTCGCCACCTTTTGAGTGGAGGACTTTGGTTCAGTCGTGCGTGGCTACAGATAATCTGATTCAGTATAGCAGAAGAGCAATTCGGAATTACACTTAGCACCTCGTGAGGCTTATCCCCAATGGCTGTTTTTCGTGTCTTGGAAGGGAGAAGCATGGCGCTTTCCTGGGAGATAACAAGTTATGTCTGTATAAGAAATGTCCTTCCAGCAATGATGTGCCACCAACCTGGTCACTCTCTCCGGTTTGCATCCTAGTCCTGCGATGGACCGTTCGCACACCCTTCGCATCCAGTAGATTTGCATTGACTCCATCTTCGGCAACCGCTTCCAAAGTGCTCCCTGTAGTTTCCTTCGTGTGCACCGTAGATCGCGGTGTTCGCCGAGGCACAGATGAGGATGCTGCAACAGCTTTTCCTCGCACCATGCGCGAACGAACCGGTTTCGGGATTACAACTTCCTGTTCCACACTCCCGTCTTTCCGCTCGTCATCAGGATTAACAGGCTCTGGAACGGTCCGCATACGCCAGCCTACGGGCGTCGCGAGCATCTCCCCGACACCTTCAAGAGCAGAATCGCTCATCCCTTCCCTGGGACGTCCTTGTGAGAACATCTGCCGCACGCCATCCATCTGAGGGGTCCCTGCTTCAGGTCCTTGCTGGAAGAGCTCGCGCATTCCGGTAAATTTAGGCGTGGAAGGCTCCGCTGGCACCGAGAAGAAATGTCGCAAGTCATTCATCCGGGGAGTTTTGGGAGGTAGAAGACTTGACGAGGTGGGACCATCCGCCAAATCTTCCATTTCTTCGTCACCATCGTCTGCGACGGCTGCCTCGGCCATATTCTCTCCGTCCATGAAGCCGTCGTCGTGCTGCTCATTATCTTCGTCCTCCTCTTCAATGACTTCGATCTCCTGCTCACTTCCTGCTTCATCGTCATCCTGGCCTGCTAGTAGTGAGAATGTGCCTCTCTTCCTCGGGCTGAGCGAAACTCTCCGCTGTGTCTCCACTGCCATTTCCATACCCTGCCTGCGTTTAACGCCCTCGACCATCTGTCGCATACGCGCGAGGAGGACTTCAGTATCTTCCTGAACATCGTGCTCTTTCTTCACGGAAGTGCTGTCGTTCGGTTGTGCTGGCGTCGGATGTGGGTCACTCGTTGCCGTACTGAGAAAAGTGCTCTGGAGCGTGTCCTCTTTAATAGGAATAGTAGACGTGGATGCAAAGAGGGAAGGAATGATCGGTGTCGAAGGCGGCAAGAGCGTCGTTCGTCGAGAACCAGGAACTTGTCCGTTGAAAAAAGTGTCAGGAGTGGCCAAGGCAGAGCGACGGCGTTCACGAATTGCCTGTACTCTTCGTCAGTACAGCCTAGAGAGTCTGGCACGATCACATACCCTCCGCTCTTCCTCACTGACGCGTTCCCGTTTCATAGGTGTCGTGTGAGTGGTATGTTTATCCTCCATTTTGACGGTCGCGACTTCAGCCCCCTCATCTTCCTTCGCATTTGAAGTCTCCGATGGGACAACAAGTTCCGTTACTTTCCACGGCTCCACAACACGGACCCTCCGCGGTCCCGAAGCACCCAAGACAGAGTTACCTAACCCCCCGGGAGTGAATGCGCCGATTGAATAACGCACATGCTTAATTGGCCGTCCAACACGACTGTGCGCACTGGCCTGAGGGGTCATGAAACGACCGAGAGGGCGATTTGTCGGCACTGGCGAAGACACAGTATCCTCTAGTGCAAGTTCTTCGTCAATCTCGCCGGTTGTATCTCCTAGTGGCTCGTCCTTCGTGTCATGGTCGAAGTCATCATGCTCATCCTGATACTCCACGTCATCGCCGTTCACGAACTGATTATCATGCTCGCCTCTGTCTTCGCCCTCGTTGCCCTCGTTATCCTGGTAATCCCCAGAGGATCGAGGTTCAACCTAATCGGAGTGTAAGTGTCAAAAATCGCCAAAGAAAATGGGCATGCCTCAACCGATGAAGCTCTGAAGGCCCAGCCCAGCCCACTCTTCACAGCTTCGAGGCTTTTGCGCCAGCCGGACGTTGGCGTCCGTCGATGCTCTCGTTCGTCGCCCTCCCTTATCTCTTCATCATACTCTTGCATCTCTCCATCCTCGTCCTCCTCTTGAACATCTTCCATAGCTAGCTGCTCCCCTTCAACTATACTTTCCTCGACCTCTTCCGCCTCTATTTCATCTTCCCGTTGCATCTCTCTCCTCATTTCCGCACGCTGAGCAGAACGTATAAGCACAGCACGATGCAGCGATGGACGAGGAGGGCGGCGCACGGGAGTGCGTGGAGGCGCCCATAGTTGGGGAGGGACTGGCATTTGGGGGACTGAAGACGGTGACATATATGAAGAGGACGATTGAGGGGGGTCGATAACGGTGACATGATCAAGAATGACTAAATCGTTGTCTGACTCCACGACTAAAGGATGGTTGCTCTCCACAAGCACGATATCATCTTCTTTGCCCTCCTGGTCATCAAGCTGTTGTGGTGCCTCGGCTCTAAACGGAGCCTTCAGTGGTGACTGCAGCACACGTAGATTCGCACGAGGGTCGGTAGACGGGCGTGGTGTGAATACATGTGCGCTTTGTATCATGGACATACGAAGTGCCTTACGTCGTCGGCCGGGTGTATCTGCAGCAGAAGGGGTTGGTGGGAGCGCAGCAAGGGCAGGACGAAGATGCTTTGGGGGGTAAGCGAAGCGAAAACGTTTCTTGTGAATATCAAGCGTTGAATTGTTCGGCAAAGGAACTGTGGTAGGTGGCCCATCCTCAGATGTAGGAAAGACTGGGCAGTCATCTATGACTACGCCGTTTGTACCCAAGACGATCACAAAGGCCTAATGCATATGTCAGACTCAGCAAGCGGTACAACTAGAACCCATACCTTGTTATCCTCGTTGAAAACGATCTTGCAATGAGTAGCACTGACCGAAGGATAGTAGAGACGTATACTACAGCTAGGGTCACGTCCTAGAGTCATCTCTGGCTCGTCGATCGGGTACGACGCAATAATAGTGTCAGGTTCGAGGCGTTTAAGCAAAGAAAGATTCCCATAGCGGCCAACATCGCTTGCATCCATGTTTAAGTGTGAAAACTCTAGGGATTTACGCTCAGATTTAGAAACCAAACATCGGCACGGCTTGCTCAGCCCTACCTGTGGCCTGCTCGTCCGTAGTATGGCACTGTGATCACAAGTCGCCCAGCTCTGAGATCTTTGCGCACTGTCAACGCACGAGATAAGTCAGTCCGCTGTAGATAAAGCGACTATAGCGAGAAAGGAAACAGTGATAAGTGTGTAGAGGGCCGAGGCAGTTCAGACCTCCATTGGAGTTCAGGCTCAAACCAAATGAACACTCGCAGCGGCGCGATATCATGTGACCGCGTATATCTATGGACATTCTAGATATCAACTGAAAAGTGTCCCTCATATACCGAGCATTAATGGGGTAGTGGTAACCTGGGTCGTTGCCATCGACCCGCCGGGGGTTCGATTCCCCCTTAATGCAACTCTTTATTTTATGTTGGCCCAATATACGGTCGCTGCTGGTTACTTTTTGAAGATGATGACTATCATTGCTGTTTAACATTCAATTTTTAGGGTATGATGTGTCTATGAACTCCAATTCGCTCTTTCGTCTACTCCTCCGTCATTTCATCAGGTTGGTTCATTACTGTCGGACAATGAATGAGAAATGAAGTGATTGCCCTTGATCTGGCCAGGGCCAAGGAGTGGGCTGCACAGACATGACTGTGGCTGGCTGACAAGGAAAGTACACTGTCTAGAATGACCACTCACCTTCAGATAGAAATTCCAGGCAAACTTAATCTGAAGCTGAATGTCTGAGTGCTATGGATAGTAGTACTACGAAGTGAAGCTCCCCATTTGGCATTCAGACTCAGTAGGCTCAGACAGCATGGTGGGAAGAAAGATGGCTGTTGCCCCAGGCTCCTGCCCATCCGATCTCCAGGACAAGAGGGACTTCATCTCACCAGCAGTTTTTTGCAGCCACATATCACATGAACTTTTGATGATTTTCAAACTCTACGATCTTATTTTCCTGATCCTCCCTATGACAGGACGAGGGAAATAAGATTGTGGAGTTTGAAATTGTCACATGTTCACGTGAAATGTGGCTGAAGGGATGTGGCTGAAAGAATCCATTGGTAGGATGAAGTCCATCTCCTCCCGGAGATCGGATGGGCAGGAGCCTGCTGTTGCCCTTGGAGACGACTCGGAAGCTCAGGGAAATAAAATGAGAGATAACTAACTGAATCGAGGGCGGTTATCAATGAGGTACGACTTGATATACTCCAGTACTCTAGCGTATAATGCGGATCTGAAACTGACTCACCACTAAGGTCAGAGGGACACGTTTGGTTGCCATGCATGTATTTTAGATCCATAGACAAAGGAAGAGTCAATTGAAGATGCTGAGATAGCCTGTACAACGTGTGTAGCTGCAGGAAGGCCTCGAAGATCGAAGGCGCGAGCCCCTTCGGTAGTATCATGATGCTCAAAGACTGGATGCATTCTGAAACAATGCATACAAAGAACAACGCCAGACATACTAGACGACGCTTCGGGATACGGCCAATAGCTGTATCTGAAGTATAACTGCCGAGATGTAGAGGAGCCCAAACAGTTGTCAGCGCGACTCAGATTACAAGGCGAGAGGTTAGGATTGAGTAAGGACAAAGACAAGGAAGATCGCAACGAACACACGAGTGGAGGGACTTGTGTTTCGTCGAGCGGCGCGACAAGAGAGACCAGATGAGGAGAGGCCGATCTGCCACGTGTGATGGAGGCGAGACCGATACCGCAAGCGACACAAGCAAGTCGCCAAAACAGTCCATTCTCTTATTCCTCCTCGCCATATGCTACCCTCCTCGTCCATCCCCTCCTCACGTATAAGTATGCTTGCTCTCGGTCTCTCTTTCCTCACAGCATTCCCGGGTCTCACCAACCAGCTCCGCCTCACACTGCCGACGACTCATACCCCTGTTTAATATTTACCTCTTGCTAATTGCCTGCCATGTTCCAAGTCACGTCTCGTCCAGTTTCGGAGCTCACCCTCCCCATGTCTCACTCTTCTCCTGCATTGTCCCAGACACTCCATCTCCCCCGCCATCTCGCACGCCCCGCTTTCACCGACGTGTCGCGCGACGCTATTCGCGCCGTTGAGAAAGACCTCGCGGATACTCCCGTCCCCTACGTTAGACAACACTTGGCTGGCCAAGCTGAACAGTGCGTGTCTGTGTCCCTCCTCCTTTAGTAGAATTCTTACCCTCTTGCCCCGTAGAATGCGTGCCGCCCACTCGCTATTGATCTACCCGGACACCCTCCCCCGTGCCCGTCTTGCATCTTCCCTTGACGTCTCCATCCGGCCTGCGTCCGGCCATCTCAGTACCCTTGCGCTTCCCACCCACATGCTTGCCATTAGCTCCTCGAGGACATCTCCCTCCGCTCCGAACACACCCACCGCTGCATCTTTTCTGTCGCAAGCCTCTTCTGCATCGACTGTCTCCCTTTTCCCCGTGTACGCGCTTGTTCTCGCTGCGCACTGCGCACTGCTTCCTCCTCTACCGCGCGCCCATACATCCACGAACCGCAGTGTGACCGTGACCCTCCCCGTTGTGCCTCTCACCGTGCCCAGCGCCGAGACGTTCGGGCTTCTGTACGAATTTCTCCACACACAGCGCGCGGATACCCTTCTCGCTGCGTTCCTCCCGAGTCTCGCCGCGATGCTCCCGCCTAAGCCGACCGCAGGAACTTCTTCCACTGCCGGCAAGCCCATGTACGCCGCGCAGTTCAGCAATGAGAGTCTCCTGCGTCTAGCGCACGCGCTTGCTTCGAGTGCCGCATCGCATGCTGGCCCACAGGGTGCGCTCACCGCGTTGATGGGACTCACGCGCAGGATCAACGGCGTCTGGCGCAACGCGTGTGCGCTAGGTGTCTTCGACGCGGAACTCTGGGGCGTTATGGATGTCGCATGGGAGATCGTTCTCGCTGCAATGACGCGCGTGCACGAGCGCGAGCGGGCGTAAATTGGGCCTGCGGATATAATCTCCAACGATATAGAGCGCACAAGCTGGGCTTGTCTCACATCAAAAGAAAACCATCCTCATATCCGCCCTCGCATTCGAATTCTCTATTTTCTCCGTGGACATTTTCTCCTAATCTACAGCATCTTCTTCCGCTCACATCTCCTACTTATGCAACTCATTCCCATACCATCTACTACACTGTTTGCCGTGACATACCCTCTTGTATTGCCTTTGCCATTGTATCCTTACTGATAGTGCTGTTATGCCCTCATTTTGAGGGCCGCGTTCGAATCACTTTGTATTCTGTCTTACCTTTCGCTAGAATACGTTTGTTGAAATTAATTCGTTTTTCATCGCGAAAAGAACCAGCATCGAATATACTGACGATCGACTGTCCAAATAAGACAGCTGTTATCGTTCGCAAGCGGAGTGTTTCACGTGATCGTCACGCCTCCCTACTATGTAGTCACGGTAGTTAAAGTGCATTCGACTTCTGCAGTCGATGCCACATGCAAAAATGTCGGGAACTTAGCAGGCTACCTCCAGCTAGAAAACTCAAGTCCTTGAACGTGTGTGCGCTGCTTCACGTGAGTTCATATACGGACTGATACTTCTGCGACAGTTCAAGCACACCACACCTGGATCTATTGGAGTCCTGTTCGGAGCTGGAGTAGGATTTTATGTGGGCCCCCTCGATCCCACTCATCCCGCAGCTCAACTGCGTCAGTATGCTTTGCACAAGCTCCTTCCGCAAGTAAAAACTGGCAGCTTTACCCTCCGCGCAATACCTCAAGCCGCCTTGAACCGTGTGGCAATCCCATGGCCCAGCCCACCATTCAGTCCCGCTCCTGAAAAATGGCCCAACGATTCGAGGCTGAACGTCTCTATAATGAAGATTGTGAGCAAGAGTGTGAGCAAATCAGCTTGCGTCCGTTCGAAGATCGGGCTCCGCATCAAGACAGCTTTGTCGTTGATTGTGACGCGGGGCGCGGATGTCGAGCGGGATGTGGGAGGAGTTGAACGCATAGTCTTCAAAGAAGAAGATGTTGGCGCAACCTGGCTGCTCTCATGTGCGTATGTCCCTTGTGAACTGCTCTGAAATGCTCTCCTGAAAAGGCAATTGCACACGTCTAGCGTGGTCATATATTGTTCAGCCTACACTTGAAGTCTATCGCATGCCGTACGAAAAGCTCATTCCCTCTCTCCGCGTTGCCCTGAGCGCTGTCAAACACAAAGCTGACAAGCTGGATGCGTCTGAGTGGAGTCAAGCTCAAGATCCACGCATGAAGCGTTCGCCCAACTCGGCTGTTCATCGTTCATCCCTTGCCCCATCTCGAGGAAAGGATAAACGCAGCGAGAATCAGGAACCGGATTGCGGGCAGCACCCATCCGTTCGAACAACCCCTCTTGAGATCTATGCTCCGGCAAGCCAGACGGAGGAAATGGAAGCTCAGAGTCATTGGATTAGCCAGTTGTTATCATCTGCTGGCCAGCAAACCGAATCCGTCTATGACGTTGATACACTAGACGTAGGAGCTCAGGATGATGTGAAACTAGATCTTGAGGCAGCCCTGCCCGACGAGGTAACTGAACCGAGACCTGTCTGGCTTTCCTCTGCTAGTGCACAATTTCCCGGGGCAAAACCTCATTCTTTCCGATCATTACTGGCCTCGCTAAGAGATGAATCTTCCCCGGAACAAACAGAGCTGACGGGTGTTGGTGCTACGCAGGCAACCGATGTGCCAGGAAGGGTACGTTAACGACGCTGCTCGTGTGTATGCAATGATAACTATTTTAATACAGATGAGAATGCCTTCGGTGCCGTCTTCACCCATATACTTCCCATCTCAATTTAATCATAACCCTCGCAAGCAAAAGGGCTTGTCTGATTCTGTCAACACCACCTCGAGGAAAGATATTTCTTCGCGTCTTTTTCAAAATAAACCTGTCCTTTTCAATAAGAAGCTCAAAACTGTCTCCAAAAACACGAACGAAGGCAAATGTTCGAAGGAATGATGTCTATAGGAAGCAATGCAGCATTGCAGCTTGGATATCTTCTACTAGGTAGTGTGCATCCGTTCATTATCGATTGGTCGAGCCGTTTTGTATGCATACAATCGTCATGCTCGCTATGGATTGCATCATTTTGACATCAGAGGGATGTTTGGCTCAGAGTGATCATCGCATCCTTATTGCTGGCAAGCGAAGCCGTTCATTCTGTTGGTTCCCACCGGCGTCATTGTAGGTCTAGTGATATCGTTATGGAATTCAGCGTAACGTATTTAGATTCACTCTGATGTTCTTCGTTCATGGTGACATACGCGTGCGAGCTAGCCCTAACCCACAATCTACAGGAATTACCGCGGAAAAACCTTCGGGAGAAGTACCTTTTTGGCGTTGGTATAATCGTGTGACAAGAATGGATGATTTATCATCATGTTCACTGCGAAATCGGTATCGTTGATTTTTTTCAAAGCATTGTCTGGTTTGTTAGTTTCTAGGTCTTTTGTTCGCCTCGTGCCTCGCCATTTCTTATGTACTGTTCATGCATCTATAGGCTATGCGGCGCTACCGATGCTACCTCAGCGAGCATGCACTCAAAAGGGTGTGATCAACTTAAGCTGCGCGTCGTCCGACTGGCGCTCATCATGGAATTCGAACCCTAAGACACGCTGTATTTGGCTGATAGATATGGTATCCTGATATATAGTAGACTCAGAACCATTTGCCGATACCTGCATGTTGTGTCCTAGCTCCCAGCGCTGCCGTCGCCATCTGTGCTGACCTCAACCCGGATTCATTGTTTTTCAAAGACCGTAAGCCTATTTTCTATTCTCTCGAGTTCAATCTGAATCACATTCTCCGCACAGCATTGCCGTCACAGTTGTGCATCGCGTTCATCCTCGGGTGCCACAACGGTTTAAACGACGTCCCATACTTTCAAGTATCCGAACTTCGCGCTCTTCAGGCGGTCGTGCAGGTAGACGAGGCTATCTATAACGACAAGGGATCTGATGGATCATCCTGTCTTCCCTACGGAGGTTTTCGAACGCATCATAGATTTTGCGTACGACCTTGATGAATACTGGCCAACCACGCTGTGCCAATGCTCTCTGGTATGTAGAGATTGGCTGCCACGCAGTCGTCTGAACCTCTATGCAAATATCTCATTGCGCAGACGTGAAGATATCGAGCTTCTGTTACAAGTTTCCCGTCTGCCCCACATTAGCCCATACTTCGCCGCCACACGTCAGCTCAACCTTCTGGGTCCAGATTACAGCGATCCCGAATCAAAATTCGACGGCTCGAATCCCGACGTAACGTATCTTGCGCCGCTCCGGCTGGCATGTATACCTACACTGACCAATATCAAAGTGCTTCAAATCAGGGGCGGGGACTGGAGACGCGTTCCGCCAAATTTTGGCATGCACAAGCTATTCGCAAGCTTCTTGTCAGTAACAACACTACTTCTCAACATGTGCCAGTTCCGCAATTTCTGCGAACTGCAACAAATCGTCTGCTCATTTCCCCGGCTCCATTCTCTCGACCTTCGCTCTCCCGGCTGTCACACTGTCTATCCACCATTTCATGCAGTTGACAGCCCTGCTGAAACAGGAATGCTGCGAGGAAATGGTCACAGAAGGGTCTCACTGGCATATCTCCGAGTCGAGCAGTGTGATCCCAGCTTTTTCATAAATGTCTTTGCCTGGTTGACGGATACGAGGACGCCTGACTCGATATTGTCATTGCGAATGCAAAATCCCATGTTGAATCATTCATCGACATTCACCCTGACTCATTTCTTGGCTGCGGGAGATGCTTCTTTCAGGAAGATCGATATACCGTTATCGTGTATTCATGAGGGCAGTGGGGGTAAGCCTTAGGGACACAGCATCCGACCAGCTCGCTGATGTAGCACGTTTTCTTCGTAGCATTCCCATTGAGCCTCACATGGGCCAATCTGCTTTGGCTGAACTTGTCAAACATCACGACTGACTCGGCGTGTCTGTCGAAACTAGTCAGCCTCCTCAAGAACCTCAATGGACACGCCATTCTTGCAGTAAAACTGGGGGTGCTACTTCATTCACATCATACAGATGGTGGACTTCTGTTAGGGAACTGGGCAGAGCTGCACGACGCCTTGTCGGACGTTGGACACTTTCCCAGACTCACGTTGGTCAAAATTGTCCTGACCTTTGACGTGAAAGCCGATGGAATCCTTGAGAAATTGACCGCCCAGCTCCCAAAGCTATACGATCGGGGTGTTCTCAGGGTTGAAGAAGATCCTAACAACGATGTGAATATGCTGAACCGGTACATGCTAGATAACCCGGTGACTTTGGACGATCTCACAATATTCAGCTCACTCATCAGCGAAGTCGACCAAGGCTCAGACGTCGATGAGTAACCGCGCGCCACCCAGGTATTTCACTCGCCCCCAAATTCTTGGGAATCTAAGTTTAAAATCATTCTATATCTCGCGTGCGGATACATGGCTAGTGGTAGATCTCCGATAGCAAATTGGATAGTAGATATGATCGTGCATAGCAGGTGATGTAGTAAAATAAGCGCAAAGACATAGGCTGAAAGAGCGAAAGCACCGAGATATGCGCAACCATTTCGACACAAAGTGTACCCATTGCTCCAATAGAAGAGGATGAAAATGACGAAGGGAGAAGCAAAATAAGCCGAGCACACGTTGGGCCACCTGTGACGGGAAATGGGCGTGATCCTCAGAGATTCAAACGATGGGAATAAGGATAGCGAAGACGAAGCGCAACAGGTCAGCCCATATACTTGTATTCGGTCCACATGTCGCTGCCTCCACTCAAATCCGGCTGCAACCACCCTTGGGAACCAGACATCGGCATCGACTGACTCGGGGGCTGAGGCTGAGGCTGATACTCATGGGTCATCGGTCGACTGTGACTGGGCGGCCGGCTCATGTGGTATTGAGGCTGCTTGTCGTACTGCGCATACTGCGACGGAGGCATAGCGGACATTGTCATGCCACCCGCGCTTGGAGGATCCAGCATTGGTGGTGGCGGTGGAAGCCCGGCCATGGGTGGCAGACCGTGAGACTGGCTCAAGGCAGAGTGGTCGTACGAAGGGCCTGAAGCAGGAGGATACTGGAAGTAGCCAGGAGGTGTGGGTCCTGTGCTATAAGATACTGGACTTGGTTGGGATAGGGACGCTTGGTCAAACAACGACGCTGTCCGTGGTGAATCTGCGAACGATACTGAGCTGTACCTTCGCTTGTCTTCATCACTGGGATAATGCATGGGGTAGTCGTCACGCTGCATCTGCTCATTGACCGGAGTGTTCGATGGCCTGGGCGGAGGATAGTGCTCAAAACCAGTCACACTCGGCGACTCCACGGCGCTCGAGCGCTGTATCATGCCTTGTGAGTGTGAGGACGATACCGGCAATAGCGGCGGGACACTAGGGGTAGACGACTCGGGGCGGAGGTTGGTGTTCAAAGGCGGTGGTGCGTTGCTAGAAACAGAAGCTGTCCTCGTGCGAGAAGTTGGCGGCCCTTGGCTTGGCCGCGAGCGAATCGAAACAGGAGAATACTTTTGAGTCTTGTCCTTGTCCTTGTCTCTATCCTTCTCTTTTGCCTGTCGCTTCGAATCGGGCTTCGACTTGCCATCATATATTGATGCATCCTTCGCCGCCGCCACCTTCGAAGGAGAAATGAGCGTCTTGGACTGATCTGGCCGCACCGAGGTCACTGAAGCGCCAACGAACGGCAGACGGAAAGAAGATCTATCATCGTCCAACAATGAACGCTTCCTCTTCAGGCCCACAGTTGCATTGTTGCTCGAACCGGAACTGCCGCTGCGGGCTGCTTCAGCTTTTCGCCTCATGGCCTCAACAATACGAATCGCTTCCGCTTTATTACCCTCGCCACGGACACCCTCAACACCCGACTTCGACGCCCCAAGTTCGCGTAAGACATCGAGACCATTCCCCACACTCTTGATTGCCTCCGCTGCCAGCATATGCGTTGGCTGCTGGATGACGGCATGAGCACAAATGACCGAAGCATCGAACAAAGCCCGTCCGAAGTCGTAGAAGTCGAATGCCGCAGGTCTAGTCTGCTTCCACACGAAGTGCAGCATACGAGACGCATTGATAATCTGGTGAGCCGCATTAACGGTGCCGAAGACTGCCTGGTGCCTAGCAGCTCCAGCAGAACTAGCCTCTTTGAGGAAGGGCAAGTACAACTTAAGGATCAGGCGGTTAGCCAGGATCGCTAGCTCGCACTTCTGCGCCTGAAGTCTGGGCGATACCGAAGATGGAAGCGACAGATCAGCGAGGTCGCCGTGCAACTCGAGACAGAATGTCGGAGGCAATGTGGATAAGAACGTCGTAACTTCGGCTTCGAAATTCGCCGCTTGTTCGATCGACAGTTCGGACGGATCTTCAGACAAAGGATCCTTAAACGTCTGCTTCTTCACATTCTTGACGAGCTGCGCTAGTCTGCAACCGACGACGTAATCATGATGAGCATGTCGGCAACGCGGCTATGAAATTCATACTCTTACCTGCACTTGAGGGTGAAGTATGTTGTCCCTCTCTCGATCCCTTCGCCACTGGGAACTGCAGGCAGCGTCGTTGAGGATGGACTGAAATGTTCCTCATCAACCTCTGCCGGCATGCGCGTGGTAAACGAATTGTCTGGTATCAAAGGCGGATGACCCATGCAGTCCGAGATGTACCTGGCAGGGCGTGTTAATCGACATACAGACAAGACTACAAGCTCCAACATACAGATCATAGTAAAAAATGTCCCACCAGACCCGCCTGCGTGTCTCGGCCTCGAACAGACTGTATGTCCCAGGGAATTCGTCCGGGTCGTTCGCAAGGCCCATCATCCTAGCAACATTGATCGCCTTACTCACCTACGCAACCAATCTGGTCAGCAAACAGCTGCTTCGCTACAGGAAAGCTCAGAGGCAGGAAAAACTCACCAATGGGAAGACGCCCTGAGCGACGCTCATCTGTCCATCGTGGAGCTGATACAGGATCTGCAAGACCATCGCAATCACCGCATCCAAATCATACAAGGATGTCTTCTCGAACAGCGCTAAGGCTTGCTCAGACAGCGCAAATAACGCCGCAGGGTTACATCGTTCGCTCTCCTCACCGCTTGACCCATCTGACGATAGGTCGCCCGGGGGATCCCCACCCGAGGCCAACGCACCCAGCGCGAAAGCTGCAGACGCTGCGGCAAAGAAACTTAAAGTGGGTTTGGGTGGGCTGCCAGCGCCGTGATGGGGCACCGTAGACCGACCTACGTCCTTCCCGACTTTGGAGGGCTTGCCGTTTGCAGGCGGTTGTCCGTAGAATACTTCGTGTGCCAAAGCCTTCATACTATTAGCAGGCGCTGGCGCACCAGTTTTGACGGAGTTTGAAGGAGGGAAATTAAAGCCACCCGCATCGCCCCACACGAACATCGCCTCCATCCGCTGAGTGAAATGCTTCACATTGAAGCAAGGATGGAGGGCCATTGTTTCTTCGAGGGCATGCATATACTGGGCGCGCGCACTAGCTGGCGGAAGGCGATTCAAGAGGACAAGAGTAACTTGTGGCGTTTCATTTAGATTGGTTGAAGGGATTGCTGGAGGGAACATATTCGTTGACGTCGCAACGTGCGTACTTGGAGCGGAAGCAGATGGCAGGAAGGTCTCGTATGGAACGGGAGGGACAAATGTAGAATTTAGCCTCCCAGGACTGAAAGAGTCCCGAGATGCCGACAGCAACGACGGAACGGGCGGCATAAGTACCGGTGTTGGTTCAAGCTTTACTCTCGCCCCGCCAGACGAACCTGCGGGATTCGTGCTCAATTCCGAAGCTGACGTCGACGATGGGTTGAGCTCGTCAAGCTCGACAAGCCAAATACTTGCGACGTCTTCTAGGTTGATGAGAACGGAACTGCCAGAAGCCCCGACTGCGATGAGAGCACGATCGCTACTTGGGTGTGCGTGCAAGCGGACCGGTGCCACTGGCTGCACAGGTGCGGTCCTGTTCGGCGTCACTACGTCCGGCGATCCCATCGATGCAATTAGTTCCTTTGCTTGAGGAGACAACTCGGCGTATACTGGCGCAAGAAGAGGAGAATGAGCTCCGTTGAACATTGTGCCGAGAGCGCTTTCGACGACGCAAAGCCGGTTGTGAAGCGTCTGGACGTCAATCTTTTCGGAGGCAGCCTGCGAATAGATGCAGCGCGTCACGGTGTCGCGCTTGAGACATGACCCGCATGGCGTACGGCGATCGCATTTCAATTTCAGCCGTTTACACTGAAAAGACACAGGTGAGCAAACAGGCAAAGGCGCGAACAACCACAAAACCTCCGTGGCCGTTTCTCGTCCGGCACATGGAAGTCGATATACGATAGAGGCAGGCACTCGATCTGAGATTTTGTCACCAACGGCTCACCAACGGTCGACCAACCCTCTCATGTATGAGATAGTGCGATGAAATTGAAGAGGATAGACATGAGGCCAGACACTATTCACTTACCTCGGCACATACAACTGTTATCCTCGAACGTATGTGTCTAAAGTATACGGCGGGATGTCAATACAGCAAGGATGATAGGGCGGGCCAGTAGACGCACGGCCCGTTGGAGAACTTGGGACCAGAAGACTGCCCTTGAGATTGAGAGTGTTGCATAGACTGTTCTTGTGGCTGAGGAGTCTGCGCAGACGAGGACGAAGGATGTGGATAGGACATGGATGCAGTATGAGAAGGGGTATGGAGGACATCATTTTCAAGCCCGGGGGTGAGGTCCATGGTGGACGGGCGAGGAGGACAAGAAAGAGCGTGCGCGAGAGACGCGCTGGGGGCGGACGGAAGCGCGGCGGGGAGGGAGGAAGGAGGAGAGGGGCGGGATGAGGGATATGAAGAGACCGACAGGGATGCCAGCCGATTGCCGTTCCTGGCACGGGGGACCCCGAGAGAGCAGAAGGACCCGTGGCACCGCTGCGGCCGCCCTGTTTTACGGCACTCAGCGACCACCAGACCCGCTGACGGGGGGTCGGCTCTCAGCTTGCTCTGCGCCTGACCACTGCCGACGGTGACCGACCGCGCTGTCGATGATCTACAAGCTGCGCTGGTCGTCGCCCTCAGAGAATGCGGGGGCGGTCGACATTAAAGTTTGTGTGCGCCAGGATATTCCCGAAGGGACTGACTGCTGCTTCCCATGACCGCAGGGGGTGCCGTAACTTGCACGATGCTATATTTACTTGAAATGCTGAGCCCCATTGAATGCTTGACTGGGTCCGTTGAGCGCAGATCCGTTGAACGCTCGGATGACATCCGCATCCTGTCGACTCGGTATCCTCGATCCAATTGGACTGCGCCCGGCGTCTCTCTGCGGACGGGTATATCGTGGTCCCAAGCAGGCAGCGTCTAGCCGTTGCGAGGCGCTCCGACCGCCAGAGAGATCCACCCTGCGCCTGATAGACGAGGCGTTGCCCTCAAGTATCCACCAGTTCTTGGCTCTATGTTTCTCGCCCCGCGCCCGCGCGGCTCTGGCGTCAGGCTCATCACCAAGAGGGGACCCGAACACTCCATCCCAGAGCGGACACCTGACGCGCGCGCGCAGACCGCATGGGAGGCTTGCAACTATTCGCGGGAGATGGGCTGAGAAACTCAGCGGCTATTCAAACCCAGCGAGAACCAGAACCAGAATCAGCGATCGGTGTATTCAATACAGGCGCCGGGTAGATCCCTCGCCAGTGCCTGCTCTTCTCCACGCCGCTCCCAGGGACAATTCATTCGCAACATCTCGCTTTCACCGCAATATTCCTGCTGCGAAAATCTGTACAACCTGGCGATGCGCTGCGTCACCCACAGCATTCGGCTCACGGCGCCTGTGAGCTAATTAGCCTTCCATTTCATACCACGTGGATCTAACGCCCTGATATGCCAACATTCTCCAGGATATTGTCCGCCGCAATATCGCGTCCACAATGCCCGCTCCCCATTCTGCTGCAGCCTTGTTTTGCCGATCACCGCTCACGACGAAGCGGGAACACGTCATGATGATTTTCTTCAGACGAGGAACCGGCTCTGCTCAGCGATTTATGTCTATGTCGTAAACTGGAAATAATTTCTCCCCAACCACGCTCGCGTCTCATCGGCATCGCTCGACCGACGACTTGACCACCGTCGTGCACGGCCCTTGATGAGGCTCAAACATGAATTCCGGAACCGCAGCTGCAACCGAACGTGGACACGCGTCGCGGGTACAGTTCGCGGCTCTTTACCCGGGCTCAGCATCCAAGTCAGCAGGAACACGTACATGACCGCGTCCCCAGTGCATGCACGACTGGATATCGTAGCCAAATGCATACATACTCTGGCTCGGAGTGCACTATTTCACCGTGATTAGATTTCGCGAGAGGCCTTGTCACGCAAATCAGCGGATATCTAGCGGCTCGCTTTGTGCATTTTTGGACACCAAGAGCCACAACGTTGGACCGTTTGTCCATTCCACTTTACGAGATAAATTCGCCAGACTCAAATTCAGTCCGCGACAGGCTATTCCGAGCACAGTCGGGCATATTCTGCGGTGTCTTTTTGGCAGGCTACAGAGTGAAAGTATTACCGGTTGCCGAAAGAAGCACTCCAGCAATCTGGCCCAGTATGACTTCCTTATATCTCCATTGTCTGTCATTTGGGGCGAGTGACGACGATAGGCTACCCTCAGCCGAGTATCCCCTGTAATCTTGCTGACTGTGTATTTCGACGGTCCTCACTGAACCTAGGAACAGGGTGGACGGTATTGTTGTTGCCCCGCCCTGCCAGCATTATTAAAACTACCAGCTCGGGTCGGATTCATTGGCTCGCTTACAGCGTCTCAAGAATTTAGGTAGGTCGAGCAGAGACGCTGGCCAGGGAAATCTCGCGAAGTGGTCATCATTACCATCTTTCTCCGCGACGTTCTCTCTGCTATACTTAGGGGCAGTCGTGGCATGTCTTTCGTGGCACAGAGGGGCCACCGTGATTCTCAATAGAGCCGCATTTCACCTGTTCGGCGCTTCAGGCTACAGGAGCAGCCTGACTGAGCCAGGAATGGGCTTCGAGTTTGATGGCCGAAGCCTTTGGAAATGCAGATATGCAACTCACCTGCATCTTAAAAGTGTCTAGCCGACATCTCGTGAGTCGCGCGCATATCAAGGTCTTTACACAATCTGACAGAGTGGTGTTGCCGAGTAAGGACCGGGGAGGGGGGCGCCAGTCTATCATTTTGGGCGCTCGCGAGAGCTGCGCCAGCGCATCGAATCATGATCTGGGTGGAAGAAGGTTCGTCTACTCCTGGCTTGCATAAGTTGCATTACCCATGGCTTATCCTATACATAGCACACCATAGGCCAGCAGAATTGCAAATGTACGGGGTAACTTGGTAATCGCACGCTTCGACTACGGAGAGCTCGCAAGATGCCGGAGAGGAGAGCGCATGGACAACGAAGCCCAGGAAGACTGATTGCGGCCATTATTCACACACATCTTCAAGCCCCGTCGTGCACATGAATGTGCTTGGATTTGCCGCCGGTTTCGTCCACAAGTTCTCATGTCAAAGTACAAGAGTCAAGGTCACAGAGCCTGGGCTTAATATCCCCTGTGAATACACCAACAAGTGTCTGTACAAAGCGCCCTGCAGGGCTGCGCGCTGGCGAGATAACCATACAACCCTCGAATTCACGCATCACGAGGCGAGGCGGCGGGGCGCCGTGCATCCCACCTCTTCTCCAGCCAGCGTGCGCATAGGAACACCAGCACGCTGAAGCAGAAGCCAAACAGCATCCCCACGTCGCCTGTCCCTGCGCGCGCAATAGGGCCTGTCCACCACTGCTTTTGTATACACAGGACGATAAATCCAATCGTTGTGAGGAACGTGAATACCGACGCCCAGCTGCGTGGGAGGTTCCGATGGTGTGGCTTGTCCCATGCGTCGAGAATGTCGTAGGACGCCCATCGGTTCTTGCGGAAGACGAAGTGCTCTGTGAGAATGATCGCGCAGAAAGGGGCGAGCCAGTACCCGATGAAGCCTAAATTCACAACAGACATTCGGACAGCGTCAGTGTGGTGACACTTGGGCCGCGACTGCGTGGATCGTGCGTACGTACCGAGAATGTTGGAGAAGATCGAATAGAATGTATTCGAGCCCACTATCGCCACAGGGATGATACTATCACATGGGTGAGCGGGCATAATTGGCGCAACTGTCAAGGAAGCCGGGGCCACTCACATAGCCGTGGATACAATGGCGAGGAGGAATCTGGGAACCTTGGCGAGGAACGGGGCCAGGGTCATGACGCTGTTGCACACCGTGTACATTGCCGGCGCACACTGGCTTGGCGTGGTGAGGGACAGCAGCACGAGGAGGAACTTCCCAAATCCGCCAGCGGGGAGTAAGACGGCACCAATCAGGCCGCCGATGTTATTGCCATTGCCCAGCCCTGCTTTCCATGCGGGAACGAAAAGGGCCCCTCCAGTGAACGATGCACCCAACAAGTGGACAGGCATCTTCCGTGGGGCATAAAAGTGTCAACAGAGCCCATATTGGTATATCCGAACACGTAAAAAGGATTTCAAAGACACTCACGATAGACAGGAGAAGTCCGAAATATGAATAAAAGAATATTCTCCAGCTGGTAGCAGCGCATGGCAGACAAACATGAGACGGAAAACTTAGCAGAAGAGAAGGTCGGACCTACGTGCTGGTTTTATGGCTGTGGTAAACACCTTGGTCGGGCATAAGGGGTGTCCAGTTGACGACGCTGGCGGCTAGTAAACCACCATAAGTCATGATCACCGAGGGTGTGACGGGTGTTTTTCCGGTAAGAGGGGCTTCGACAAGGTGCTTTCCGCTGACTGCGAGCATCGTGATGAAAGCAATGACGTTCGGGATCCACACAAACATTTCATACCTAGACATTTATTTTCATAAAGGTGCCTCTAAAATGCACAAATACGAAATATAGTGGACGAACCAGTGGAGTACCTTGTACCCGCTGAAGACAACCTAAGAGCACGACATGGTGAGCCACGTTACACAAAGGTCACTCAAACTTACTAGCAACGTAAAAAGTCCGATAATGACAATCCCAACGGAATCGCTCAGACTTGGAGAAATACTTCCTAACGTCTGGCCTCCGATAATGGTGTTCAAAATTAGGTAGCCTTGTAACGACAAGGTGACCAGTATGCCAGGTATAATCGCTCCATAATACCTAACAATGTGCCCCATATGAGATGTCACTGCGAAGGTAGATTTAACTGAATACTCACCCCCACGAGAACCGGGCCTGGACCATCCCACGAGCGCCGAGTTTTGGACCGAATACGCCGCTAAGACAAATTCGTCAAGCTTTGGACCATGCTGCAGGATGTGGCTACTTACAAATATGCTGGGAACGCACATGTTCTACCCAGACAAATTAGCAATTGTGATAATTGAGCATGCGGTGAACAGGTACATGATGTCTACCACTACAATGACCAGCAACGAATCGCGGATTCCCAGCCCATAGACTGCTGGACCCAAAGTGCCATTGGTCATTCTACAGACGTGGTACATTGAGTTATAACACACACGCGGCTCGGCTGTGGTACGTACGTTAGGATGTTCAGGTTCGCCGAAAACCAAACAAAGAACATTTGGTATGTGCGTGGGTCTGTCCGCTCTTCCGGTGGCACTGGAACAATGCTATACGCGCGGCAGGCGGTGATGAGCGCTATACCGACAGAGACCGAGGGACAGGCGCAGCTAGGAATACGTACCCGTTTGTTTCAAGATTGAACCGCGCGAGGAGACGGGTAATTGTGGGTAATATCCCACTGGGCTTCGATACTTGCTCATTCTGGGGTTCACTGGCAATTTCTACGGTCTCTTCAACCGATATTTTCTCTATATCTGCGACTGCCGATGGAGAGCCCGCCTGCAGCTTGAGTTCTGGGACATCGACGCGTGCCATTACTTGCTACTCTGGAGGTCTTGCCAAGGGAGGAGCAACGGACTTGGGTGAAGAGCACTGTCTTGTATCCGTATGCAATCATCTCCAAACTTTGTGAACAGGTGCTGCTTCTGAGAAGCAACAAGGATGGTCATGCTATCAGTTATGACGGTCCTAGTGCAGGCCGGATGAGATCCCATGGGAGAAGATAAAGTGGAGATACATTATCTACCGGACAGAAGGACCGTCACGAGAGCTTGAGGAGTCCCGTAATCCGCAGCTCACGTGTGCTGCTTCGGTGTCAGTTGATTGGATGGAACGATGGAATATGAGCGTTTGGACAATGAGTGACTACGGGACAATGGCGGCAGAAAAACTGAATACAATACCACGTTCTGGGGTCAGGACGAACGTTCACCGAAGAACATGCAGAAGCTGGCGACATCTCACTTCAGAATGTCTACAGGCAAGGCATCTTTACGAGGACTTCCTGCAAAGGGCAATTACACTCACAATACGCAATTCGGCAAGCAAGAAAGTGATGGCATATTGGTGGAGCAGAGTATAGAGGAGGGCTTTTGCTTGGCGTGCGCCACCAAGCATCAGATACTGTATCAGCCCAACTGGACAAGCGCGCAGGAACCCAGGTCACCAGATTACTCCATTCCTGTTTTCCCATTTTCTCTCCAATGCCCTCGCACACCCATATACGATCACTCCAACCACAAACCCGAGCAGCATGCCTACGTCACCTGTCCCCGAGCGTGCGATGGGGCCCGTCCACCACTCTTGTTCCATGCACAAAACAATGAAACCGATCGTGATGACGAAAGTTGATAGCGCAGCAAATCCCCGTGGGAGATTGGGATGGCTTGGGAGGTCCCATGCCTCGAGAACATGATACGACGTCCACAGGTTCCGGCGGTACATGAAATGTTCCGTGAGGACGATCGCGCAAAACGGCGCGATCCAATATCCAATGAAGCCTGTGCAAACATGTGTGAAGGCGGTGGAGGCTGTTCCAAAACAAACGAACCTAAGATGTCGGAGAATATTGCGTAAAATGTGGTAGAGCCGACTATTGCAACGGGTATCAGTCTGCGCGCAAGGTGCGCATAGCAGCCACATCAGTACCCTTTGATGACGAATTCATGCCAGAGGCTCACATTGCGGTTGATATCATGGCCAGCACGTATCTTGGTATACGCGCAAACCTCGCAGATACAGTCATGAGGCTCGTACACGCTGTGTACATTGCTGGAGCGCACTGACTCGGAGCCGTCAAGGACAGTGGAACTAGAAGAAATTTGCCAAATCCTCCCGCAGGACTCAGAACAGCCGCGATGAGGCCACCGATATTATTGCCATTTCCGAGACCCGCTTGCCAGGAGGGCACGTAGAGCGCCGTCGCGGCGAAAGCGGCACCCAGCAAATGTACGGGAAGCTGATGGGATGAATATATGAATTGAATGCTGACTGTAAATGCGGATGTACTAACGCTCGAAACGAGAAGTCCAAGGTAGGCGTATGCGAATATTCGTCCTCTGTACGATTCATGTTTCAGATGAGCTCTGGACGATGCATTCAATGAAAGAAAAATTGATAGCGTACGTGCTGGCCTTGTGATCGTGATACACGCCGTAATCGGGTGTGAGGGGCGCGTAGCTGACCACCGTCGCAGCAAGGGTCGCACCAAATGTCATCATTGCGGAGGCACTGGTGGGGAATGGACTCGATAGAGGTGCATTGACAAGATGTTTTCCACTGACGCCAAGCATGACAATCAAAGCTACTACGTTTGGTATCCATACATATGTTTCATACCTGAATCGTTGGCCAACATCAGTACCAAGATCAATTTGAAGCTTCACCTCTCGTACCAGTGCAGTACACGGTAGCCACTGAAAACGACCTGAATGTCATTGTGGGTCTGCCGATCGTACATACGACAAGATAGATGAAGCAGACGCACCACTAAGGTTGTGATGCCTATGATGACAATACCAAGGGATGCACCTAAGTGCGCCGAGATACTCCCCAGTGTCTGTCCTCCGATAATGGTATTCAAAATCAGATACCCTTGCAACGACACAATATTGAGTATACTCGGGATACTTGCTCCGTAATAACTGGATAAGCCACACTGGATCAAGGATATATCTACACGAGTATCAATTCACCCTTACCCCCAGGAGAATCGGGATTGTACCATGCCTCTCGTCCCGAGTTTGGGTCCGAATACGGCACTGGCAACAGTAAGATCAGCTGCAAAACCACTGATTCAAAAAGTCAACCATACAAGTATGCTGGAATTGCGCTTGTCCTTCGCATCTGTCAGTCAAAATTAATTGGTTTTTAATAAGTGACTCACACAACGTCCACAACTAATATTACTAGAAAAGAATCTCTGATGCCTAGCCCATAGAACGCTGGGCCAACGGTACCAACAGCCATTCTAACGCGGTCGTCAGACAGTAAGCAGCATGGCCCAAGGAAGCATGCTTACGTCAAGACATTCGCGTTCGCCGAAAACCATACGAAGAAAATTTGGTAAAGACGTGGGTCCGTCCGTCCCTCTTCAGGTATGGGTACAATACTGTGAGGACGCAAGGTTGGTTACAGTGGGCTAGTATCATACATAAAACTTACCCGTTAGTTTCGACTCCCCATTGCACGAGCACTGCTGTTATTCGTTGAACAATGCCACCAGGAGGACCTTTCTCACTGTCGTCCGTACGCGGACCGCATCCAGTCTCAGATGTCAGCTCAAGGGACAGCTTTTCAGGATCGACCTTCATGATCGATCCCGGTCGCTCGAGCTCCTCTATTTCGTCTGGAGACATCGTTTGTGGGAGCCTTGAATAGCGGAACGGAAACCAGCGACACCGAAAATAAGGGAAGGACGAGAGCAGCATTCCCCATGCTCGAATGATAGAAGTCCTAAATTGCCTCGTGAGATAGGCAGAACCGACCTACCACATCAAAGTAAGAACACGAGTGATATGGATCAGCGCTCGGCCTGGGAGTCCGCTCAAGCACTAGAACTCTGGTCTACAAGGGCGTTTCCTGTCAGAGAAGCATACAATGATAACAAGGGAGATAAGGAAGCCACCCGTTCTTTGAATGGTACCAATACAGTATGCTCCTCTTCCTTCATGAATGACACAATCAGTGCGGGTTGTAAGAGCTGGGAGCCTCTTTGATGATGGGAAGACCAGGAATTCAGCGAAATCGCTAAGAGTTTCAGCCCCCATGAAAGTGGCGTATACAGCTGAAGCAATAGGCTGCTGAGGACCTCGTTCACGATTAGAAGACCATAACTCCAGTCATATCGAACAAATCTTCAACCCCATGACAGTGGCTCATACAAGGAGAGCAGCAGACTTGCTGAATCAGCAGGATTTCTGGATCGAACGGGCGCTTACAAAGCCATGAAATGCCTATGCACTCGACGAAGGCAGAATATTGCTTGATGATAATTTATAAGTCAAGGAATACAGCCCCGAGAATAATCGCGGTGACACTACTCGCGCTGAACTAACGCTAGTAATCCGAGGCCTCCAAGAAGGGCGTACTTCAGTTGTGGAAAGTCGTTCTGGAGATTTCAGGATTAAGGTTTGAAGCATTTTTCTGTGCACTGGCATAAAAAAAAACGTACCATAGCTATTGTTACATAGCCGACATATGGGAGGAAACTGGAAATTGTTCATTCAGCGCAACCAAACCATGGAGGAGATGCAACGCTTACCCGCGGACCTTGCCTACTATATGCTGTCGTTCAAGCCACTCAAGTCCTTGATACAGTTCAAGATCGTCGATATAATTGTTGTCTCCCTTAGTCAATAGCAGCTGGTCATGAGCTATGCGGCTTGCTGCAATACGACTGGTACAGAGCGCATACAATGATTAAATGACTGTCAGCTATACAATTGCATAAGCTCACCCTTTCTTGATTGTGACACCATCATGTGTTTCGAGCACTCGATGAACAATGGGAATATCAGCACCAGGGATTTTGTACACGGTGATATCTCCTGCTTGATATCGTTGATCAAGAGGATTCGTTAGGAAAAGCAAGTCGCCACGATGAAATGCTGGCTCCATAGAACCACTACGATGCACAATTCTTGTCAGTACCGTCATACATGGCACCGGGGCATTTCGACGCACCTCAGGACAACAACTATCGGCGACTCGGTGTTGGTAACAAGCCCAAGACCCTTCCACATCATGAACCCAGAGGCAAGCACTGACATGAAATTGAGGACCTGGAGCAGGACCTAAATCGAGACATGTATAAGTCTGATGCACCTCGGGGTATCATTGCGGCTTACATGGCGGAAGCCTAATCTCCGCAAGGTCTTGAGCTCGTCGGCAAACATGCCCGCAGTGATTCAGGGTGGAAAATGCGACAGAGGGTAGGGAGGAAGAGAGCTGAATCTTGGCAGCGCCGTTGGGATGCCACATACGGTAGAGCAATGGGGTACGCACGTGGCAACACGTCCCCACTGATTCGTCCCGGCCTCGGTCATCCGGGCAGTCGCTCTTTGCTGAACGTTCCACGTTGTCAACCTTCACTTCAACCTGTTTTCAGCTTGGTGTAAGACAGTTCGACCATTACTGTTTCTCCTCTGCAGATAAAGCAATGCACATGCAGTTAGTTCAGCCAATAAACCACTTCCCCGCGTTCTATTAGGTCCGATTTGCTTCGGGAGATATTCCGCTTCACTGAAAGATCGGTACCGGCACAATGAAAACGAACCGAAAACACGATATTGAGATAAGTCTCGCCGCAGGCTGTGAGCGTCGATTCCCATCTCGTTTCGGTCTCTACACGCTGAATCACGGTAGATGTGGTGATGGCCCGGACTCGCCCGACGATACTTGTGCTGATATTTTACGCCTTGCGAGCTCCGAGTTGGATCTATTAATTGGCGTTGGTCACACTCTGACTTCGAGCGAGGACGTCTTACGTTCCAGTGAAGACGAAACAAACGCATAGAATTGAAAATTGTAGCTATGAGCGAAATTAAGCCGTTCCAAGCTGGAGTCAAGTCGCTATAGAGGGCGATTTAGCATGATTCCACTCGGTGATTGTAGGTATAAATCCCAAATTCAATGTTTCTGACTTTGCACTCGTTCTCCAGAAGCCGTATGCATTTGCCCGATCGGCGGCTCACACCAGTATGGCCCCAGAGCGAGAGCGTAGGAGTCTGTCTCTTTTGTATACGTGAATACCCTTGTGGATACTGGTCTACCTTCGCCTGAGATCTTGTGAGTGGATCGACGAGAAACGTTGCATGCTAGCCAAATCTCTCCTACAGGCACATGCGCAGAAAGTCTGGTGACAATAAGACATCGCCTAGAACCTAGGCTCTGCAGCGCCTCCGATGGTTCTGTAAGGCCATGTGTGTGTGCAGGGACACATTATGGGCTGCATCAGCCAATAGTGTGAACTTGAACTTGCAGGTCGCAAGACGAGTCGCAGCCTGGCTCTAGCAGATGTCGGAAACAGGGCGATCGGGGTTCCAGGAAAGGCAAGTGAAGTAGAAAAGAGGCGCCACACGTGCTAGAACGGGCCAATGAGCGGGGGCGTAGGTGGTCGTGCGATGCCTGCGCGGATTGTGCCAAGTCGGTGCGCACGTTTCTACACGCACAACCAATCGCCAAATGCACGGTTCGTCGGCTTATCATGCCTGCTCTGCCGCAATGGTCGTCGTCTCCCGCGGTCCCAATCATCTGGCGTATTTATGCCCTGATCATCTCTTTTCGCAGTCGTGTGCACACTCTGTCCCGCTTCTTGCGCCGTACCAACTCTCCTCTCCTCACACCATCGCCATATAATGTCAACTACGAAGGATACACCGACATCGTATGTCGGGAGCTGCAACCCTCCTCGACGGGCTAAGCGAGCTCGGACGGACACCGTAGGCGTTCTGGACATCCCGCATCTGGATAGACCTGCCGCTGCAAGGAACGCCTCCCGCCGTGCGCGTCCCCCCATCTTGCCCAAGGAGCCATTACCAGACTCCCAGACAGCAGAAGTTGATGACTCCGACTATGCCGATGGAGACAGCTACGAGCCTGAGGAAAGAGCGTCAGCACCGAAGCGCCGCGGCCGTAGGCCAGGAACACTTTCTCGCACCGCGAGGGAATCCCAGCGCAAGCTTAATCACTCGCGCATCGAGAAGGCGCGTCGAACCAAGATAAATGAGACGTTGGCCACGCTAAGCGCACTTGTCAACGAAGCGGAGTACCAAAGGGCGAAGGATGGCATCGAGCGTGTTCAAAACGAGTCGGTCACTGGTCCAGAGTCATCCAGCAAACCAAAGACCGAGGAGAAAGAGTTCAAGCTCGACGTCCTCGTCAAAACTGTCACATTTGTGCAGGAATTGATGGATAAGGTGAAATTACTCGAGTCGCGCAGCTGTCCGAGCTGCGCCCGATTGGGAGATACGTCGCCTGTGACTTCGAGCCTGAAGAGAAAGAGGTCTGAAGATGGAGAGATCATCGAGATAATCGCTGAGCATGCCGTTCCGGTGGAGGATGCCGTTCCGGTGGAGGATGAGGAGGAAGAGACGTACGCCGCCGACGACGAGAAGGGGGGTCTGGAAGACATAGAGGTAGCGAGTGCCTCTCCAACTCTCACTCCCACATCTGCCCAGTCGTCCGTTTCGCCTCGTCTCCCGCCAATTGCGTCGTGGCTCCCCCATCCGTACGTGGACCCCAGCTGTCTCGTCGCCCTCTCCGAGGGACAAGCTGTCTTTCCGCAGCCACAACTACCATCTCCTCCTTTGTCGGGTCCGTTTCGGCCCACCAACCATATCGCTAACGTCCCCACTCTCACTTTGCCTGGCCCAGCTCATCCTGAAACGCTTATAGCTGCCCCACACGCTCGGAGCCCCTCCATGAAGACGGTTGCGTCGATCAAGACGAGCACCTCCGCGAGCGAGTCCGCTGGAGGGCGAGAACCTAGGCGCCCGCGCGTCTCGTCTCGCTCGCCGACGTGGACGCCGGAAGACGAGACTGCCGCATCTCTTCTCTTGCAGATGAGCTCCTCGCCGACGGCATCGAGGCGGCCGTCCGCGGCGCCAGCATATCTGCACTTGAACCCCCCCGACCTTACGCATTCCGCGCAAGCTTATAGCGGAACCTTTCAGGTCCAGACCCCAAGCTCATTGCTGGGGCTCATGAAGGGGAATCAAAGGGAGCGGACAGACGAAGAATAAGTGTTAGGGGAATATGTTATTTCTTCGGATTGCATAATTTATCCTTTTAACGATTGTGGTATAAATTGTAGGTTGTATGCTGTTGTAGTGTTATCTAGGGCAAAGGGTGTTAGCATTATATGTATAATAAATACGCTTGCGAGTTGTACGAAAGCAGCTGGGAGAGTCAGGCCAAAGCAAAATCTATGCTGCCTCGACGACTGGTAATTCATTTGAACGTTGCGTCGCACGCCACCGCAGTTGGAGTAATAGTGCCAGAGTTTGTGCGAATTGTAACGGACATGGCGTTTAGGGACGTCCAGATATCCCAGGAATTTGCTACACCTTGCCATGTATAAGTTACTCTGAGTATGTACAAAATGACAGTAAACGACGTTGAGTCTCGACTACGCATGCGTACACCATAATCATACATAGATAACATATACCAATATACCTGATACATCACGTACTCCGTCATCTGCTGCCAACCCAGTCTAGCATTCGGAGTCATCCACCCGGGGGAATATTCGATTGAACGACTGCTCCGCTATCGGGAATGACATAGTCGCGAGCATTGAAGTCGTCGCATACTGAAAGACCGTCACGCGCTTGAACCCGTCTAGCGCATCGCATCAATCCGCTGTATACTTTGGTGGGAGGTCCGCCATGGTCGCCGCTAGACTCGTAGAGTCTACGTCATATCGGAATCGCATCCCAGAGTCGACTTCGCGTATGTGCGCGAGCGAAGGATGAGGTATATTCTGAGGCGCCTTCTCGTCCGCGATATCGTCGATATGTTCAGGGTCGGTATGTTCAGGAGGCCCTAATATTGCGAGTTCGGCATCTGGGTCATCCTTGACCATTTGAGCAGGAGGTGAAGACTCGTTGTGTTGCTCTGTAGGGTCCAGCGTGTCCGAGCGCCATTCAACCAGGCTGCGTGTGGACGATGAGTGTGTGAGTGCCGATGAAGTCGCTGGTGGAAGAATGTTCCGCTCAAGGTGCATTTGTCTCCATGCAACGTAAGACTCGCCACTGTCAATCCATGGGATCGAAACGAGCTCCGGCTTGTCGGGCATGCTTGAGACTATGGACACGTTGGTCTCTACAAGCTGAGGCCCTGACATTATGTATGGGTCTGAAGGATCAAGGAATAGTCCCGCAACTGAGTGGCACGCATATAGAGAACACGAGGATACACTCACCTGGCATCACATCCTCCTCTTCGATCATGGCGTACTGTCCCGCTTTCCTTCGTGTGCAAGACCACGCAACCACGACTATCACCACTAGAAGTGCCAGTCCGCCCAGGCTTCCGCCGATGATCAAGCCATATTGACCTACAATCCCAGTATGTGCTGAAAGAGAGGATGCAGGACCTGTCGGCTGGTCTTCGATGACAGTGTGGGTTCTCCAATCTGTAGTCGTTGTCGCTACCGGGACAGAGCTTGGCGTTGAGGCACTTATGAGGCCAGCCAATGATGGTGCTAGGGCGTAGACTACAACGCTGGAAACCTCTCCTGATTCCGTAGCTTGCCTGGGTGACAATGCAGAAGATATAGAGTGAAAAGACAAGGATGCTGAGGGACTGGTGGAATTTGGCGTAGATGATGGGGGGAGTGCAACAGAGGTGAGAAATACTGGCATTGCACCTCCAGTAGCACTCATTGCGAGACAGAATGTAGAGACTTTAAACGAGCGAATGGTTAATGAGTGGATAGGCAAGGCGTGAATAACCTAGAGAGAACAAAAATTATCTGCCCGTGGTCAATGTTGCAGAGCAGTCTATGGAGGATGGCTCATGGGGATGGTCATGTGAAAAGAATACATTTTAGGGATATAGTACACTCAGCTTCTTGGTTGACCAGGCAACAGACACGTTAGATGAGAGATGCCGATGAACATTGCGAGGCGATGACAGCGCGTGCCCATTCCGGTCGACGCCTAGGTTCCTTGATCAATATTGCACCAAAATGATCACATGAACGACATTTTCGTAACCTACACGAATCACGTAGCGGGGAATCGTTGGCCAAGTAGCGTCTGAGATGGAACATGTTCAGAGCTAAGATGAAATGACGAACAGATATGTGTCCCACTCTCCCCTTCGGAGGCGCTGCGCCGTCCGATTTGACGTACATGACTCATCTGTCAGAGCCCAGCAGCGAACACCACTCGTCCCTAAAGTAAATTCAAGGCTCAGGGTAGCGAGCACCACCAAAGCAGAAACAAAGAGAAGTAACCTCTAGCTGTGACAGTTGTTGGACAGTTGAGTCTGAGCTCCTGGAACTTGGAACAAAGCAGACGACTCGAGATGGAGCAGTTAAATCTCCCATCCACATCTGTCATGGTCTTGATATCCGCAATGCTGGCCTAAGTTGATGGTTTGAGGCTACCTGCGCAAATACTGTTCGAATACCCAAAACTCAGAGACAGCTCATATTCAGAATCAACATGCATGACAAGAGCGTTGAGACCAGAAAGAGGTGGATGTGAAGATCAAAACAGTCAGCCAAACCAGTTCATCAAGCGGCGCGTCAAATGAAGAACAGTCACTGGGGGAGGTTTGTCCATTGGCGAGCGCATGCACTCAAGTCGAAGTTGTCCGCCGTCTGAGGAGGAACATATAAGTAATTTAAAAAAAAACTTAGCAGCAAGGTTGAGAAACGCAGGGCGCTAAAATGCTCGGCTAATGAGATACTGCTGAGGGATCTCGGGGGGATCCCAGCTCGTATTCACCACCGCGACTCTGCTAGTATTCCCATTGTGCACTTGTGCTACTGCGCTAAGCTTTACGGACACTAGAAGACACAAGACAAACATACGCGCTTGTGCTTGCTCTGTGATGTGTCTGTGATTTCATGGAACTTCTTCGTTGCTCGATGGCGCTCAAGCATTTTCTGCAGCCTCTCTCGCGTACACCCAGTCCACGACATGTCTTGTCCAAGTCTTCGGCAACGGCACGCATCCGACGTGTTAGGATACATACCTCATCCTCTGAGTCTGCTCATCAGTATGACGAGGAATCCTTCAGTGAGGAGACATTGCGACGGAAGCGGCGGACGGAGTGGAAACGACGGCAAGGCGTGAGTGGCGAATTTCTTTGTTCATTACTGCTTGTCACGCTAGTTTACTGGCCATCTACCTGCAAACAATCACTGCTTCCAGAACTCGTTAATCGGATGCTACGCTCGTCCTGATCTATTGTATTCCTTCACATTCATAACCTGGGGCTGACGGTTCTCTTATAGGGCCAAACATTCCTCGACCATGTAGTAGTTCATATCCGTGGAGGTATGTAATGCCATTCGTACCATCATGTCGAACTCACGCGTGACTATGCACCAACTCTACATCTCCACAGGCAGAGGGGGCGATGGCTGCGTTGCTTTTCACCGCGAGAAATTTATGCCATACGGGCCACCTTCTGGCGGCAGTGGTGGACGTGGTAGTGACGTATATATCATGGCCACCCCGCATCTCACAACTCTGTCCTCCGTACCGACCCGAATACGTGGTCACGCGGGGGGTAACGGCCAGGGTACTTGGCGAAACGGGAAGAATGCGCCGCCACTTGTGATCAAGGTCCCGCTCGGTACCATAGTACGCGAGCTGCCACGCGACGACTCGAGGCGGAGCCAGGACGAGTACGAAGCAGAGGCTGAAGCACTCGAGGGACTGGAGCCGGAGGAGCGCAAAAAGAAGCTTCGAGAAAGGCGGTGGGTGCACTACCCCACCTATGAAGATGACAACGTTCAACGCAATGAGTTCAAGGAGGCAGAGAGAGCGCTATATCGGGAGGAACGTGAGCGGCGATTCTTGCGGAGACAACGCGAACAACAAGCAATATACTTGGACCTCGACAAGCCTGATGGCGAAGAGGCGATTGATCCGAATGCACCTCTGGGTACTCGGCGTCAGGAGAATTTGGGTCATCTCATAGCAGCGGGCGGCCCTGGCGGTGTCGGCAACCCACATTTTCTCTCAACCACGAATCGTTCACCGAAGTTCGCGACGAGAGGTTACGATGGCGAGCGAATCTCTTTGTCGTTGGAGCTAAAGCTGCTGGCGGACATTGGGCTTGTCGGTATGCCGAATGCCGGAAAGAGTACGTTACTGCGTGCGCTCTCTGGAGGTCGCGCAAAGACCGAGGTTGCCGGGTATGCGTTCACAACGCTGAATCCGGTGATGGCAGTTATACGAGTCACCGATGACGGCAGCTTTGAGGGCTCGGAAGGCCGGGTGTATGAGGAGACGTGGGTAGAAGAACAGCGCGAGAAGGAGTTGATGGAAAGCGGAGCACTGGCCGACGCTTTCACCAGGAATCAGCGGACACATGATGATGATAGCTCCGACAGGGATCCATACGTTTCTCTGGAGGGTTTCAGATTTACCGTCGCAGACAATCCCGGTCTCATCGCGGAGGCATCGTCGAACGTCGGCCTAGGTCACTCATTCCTGCGATCTATCGAGCGCTCTCTCGCGCTCGTGTACGTAGTTGATCTCTCCTCGCCTGCGCCATGGGACGATCTCCGCGTGCTCAAGAATGAGATTGAAAAATATAAACCTGGGATCAGTCCTAAAGCCCGTATGGTGCTCGCGAACAAGGCAGATTTGCTGGGAGGACAAGCAGACGATGATGCTGTTCAGGTCGCGAAAGAAAAGTTAAAGCAACTCGAGGATTTTGTTCAGCGCGAAATGGTGGTGGAGATGCAGGATATCGCGGGGAACATTATTGGAACTCGCAAGCTGGATGTGGTTCCGATATCAGCGAAGTACAGTTTGAACTTGCGCAAGGTGGTAGGCCTGATGCGTGGATATGTGGAAGAGGCGAGAAGCGGTATTCAGTCTTCGCCAGAGATCCAATAAGATATTAGGGACCAGTGAGGAGGATCTATCCGCAAGGTTGACTCTAAGTAGGAAGTAGTGATTCTCTAGTTTGACGGATGTAGGGAGGAATTTTATAATGATATAATAGCACATCTCATAGAATGTGTTCATGGTTATGATACAACTGGTGAAAGCAAGATGTAGCTCACGCGAAAGGCATAAAAACAAGACATTCAGCCCCCATTACGCTCCCTCTGCGCGACGGATCGTTCTTCTCTCTCGATCGCCCACCACTTTCACCAAGCCCTCTTGCTCCAGCTCTTTTATGACTGTTTGGAACTCCGCTGTATTGACCTTGATCGTACTCTGGCTCTCGAGTTGTTGTAGTGCATCCGACCATCTGACGCCCCGCGTTCTGCTATTTCCATCGAGCATTGCTAAAACTGCCTTCCGCATATCGCCACGCATCTTCCTTTGTTGTCTGCCTATACCAGTATCCAGCAGACCCATGTCGATCTCTCCAGTTGTTGGGTCTCGGGCACTGGTATTGATCGCCTCCCGCATCAGACGATACGCTTCTTTGACGTCTTGAAGCTCGACGAAAGGTGAAAAGCGCATCCGCGCATGGGCTTCCGACAGACGAATCATGCTCTCGAGCTGTCGGGTAGTTGCGGTGATTCGCTTCTCGTTCGAACGTGGGTCTTCGCCTGCTTTGCGCAATGTGACATAGCAGCGAACAAGCTCTTCGGATGCTTCTTCTGTGATAGCAGGGTTGATACGAGACCTGGCATAGGTAATATACGCAGAAAGCTGCTCAAGTGGCTGGAAAGAAGAATAAGCATCACTGATAGTATAAACTGTTCAGAGAGTATTACCCACCAGGATATCATGCCCGCCAGTCTCTGGTGCGTCTTCGAGGTACAGCCCTACAAGATGCTGGGCTAACTTTCGGTCAAGGGCTTCATCTACTTCATCAAGAATAAGGTAGAGCAGATCGAAACGAGATATGAGCGTGGGTGGCAAGTCAATGTTGCGAGTTACTGTTTCGCTCCTGTTATATTTAGAGCCGATCGGGTTTGCTGCCGCAAGAATTGAAGTCCGTGCATTCAGTGTTGTAATAATCCCTGCCTTTGCAATAGAGACAGTTTGTTGTTCCTGTAAAGACGGTCAAATCGCATATTGTGGTGGCCAGCGATACGACACTCACCATAACTTCGTGCAATACACTACGGGTCGCGTCAGACATCTTGTCAAATTCATCGATGCAACAGACACCTCCGTCGCTCAGAACAAGGGCTCCACTACATAAAACCTCTTAGATAAACTAACATATTCACTGAAGGTGCTTCTATACCTTTCCAAAACCAATTGTTTCGAATCAGGGTCCCGGGTGACATAGGCAGTCAAACCCACGGCTGATGACCCCTTACCAGATGTGAAAACACCTCTAGGTGCAATTTTATGCACATACTGGCGGATCATGAGGAATGAGCTCGCATCATCCAGAAGTACGATAGAGACTAACCTGGAGGATCTGCGATTTACTCACACCAGGGTCACCGACAAGCAGCACATTGATGTCTCCGCGATACCGCGGACCACCCGCTCCGCCTCCTCGAGCAATGCTCTTGTTTGTACCGCCAAATAGCTGCAATAATATGCCCTTCTTGACGTCATCCAAAGACCAGATTGATGGAGCTAGCGATCGAGCCAGTAAGTCATAGATGTCCTCTCGTTGGCTGAGTTCTCGAAGCTTTGCCTCCATTTCTTCCCTCTTTGATAGTCGTCCTTCCCTTTCACCGTTTGCTCCTTGCTCTCCATCCTCGTCCTCGTCCGCACCTCCGCCTACACCGCCTACCCCCGGAGCCCTATCCCCACCAGCTGATCGTGTACTGCGATCTAGACCCAATCTCTCCGAGCTACTAAGGCGTACATGCACCACGTCCAGGAATGTTTTGAATAGACTCTTGAGCGTGCGCTGACGCGGATTTACACGGACGGGTACGCTCCTGAAGATACCCGTAACAACAAGGCGGTCTCCAGGTTTAGTGACATCGACCAGTTCATCATAAACACTCAGGGAGACCGTGTGTGGTGTCTGTCCATCTGGCACTGCGTCCGGTGTCTCTTGCAAACGAATAACCTGCCGATCCGCGAATTCGCAACGATTGTGTACGAGGGACATCGTCCCGACGGATGCGCAGACATCCCGAGGACATAGTGCTGGCTCGTCAATTTTACCTCGGTCAATCTCGACTTGCACCGTGTGGTTGCACTTGAGACAGCGGAAAAATGCGACCTTCATGTCTGGAATGACCGGCGTCGCACGAATGACAAGCCCTTTGATACAGACCAGCTTATCCGTGTCTGGAGATGCAAACATCAGTTAAGCGAAGAGAGCAGCATCACTTCATCATCTTACCTGTTGGATTCAGATCACGCATATTAATGGAGGTCATACCAAACGGCCGAATCTTATAAACCTTGCTCATAATATCCGCTATTTCTTCCTCACCCTGGGCGCCTTGCATGCCCTCCATGCCGATCCGCTGGTCTTCTTCAGCAGTTTCCAACATCATATCCTTCAGTACCTGGTCCATGGCAGGGATGACTTCTTGAGGGTATTTAATCAATTGGGTATACAGCTTGCGACTTGGTGGGTACGCGGAAAGATTGGTCATATCCAGATTGAGATTTGTCTCCCCCGTCTGGCGCATCCTGCGCAAGTACGTGATGTATAACGTTGCCTCACCTTCCTGCGGTGTTGCCATCATGCGCGTACGCAGGTTGCGTTCCCGGTCATAAGCCACGCGATACTTAATTTTGAAACCGAGCAAGAAGCCGCGAAACGTCTGCATGGTTTCATTTATGTTAACAGTGGTACCCCAAATTGCGCGTATCTCATCAGGTTCGTCAGAGGGTACGGTCGCGGCGGATAAATCGGGAGCGGAAGAGCGAGGAAGTGAGAGATGCGTGCCATCGGAATTGAAGTCCACATCCGAGGCATCACTTTGACGGCGAGCACGACGAGTGGCGCGAGATGGAGTAACGCTCAAAGAGGAATGAATATCACCACGGCGGTTTTTGGGTGTAGCAAGTGTGGCAGGAGAGCTATAAGATTTTTAGCCGGAGTGGTGGAAGAAGGTCAAGAAAAAGCAGTACCCAGGGAAATCCAACGGCTCAGAATCAAGATCGGACCCTGGGATGTCTGAGCTAATCCCATACCCCCGACCACGTGCAGGTGTCCTAGGCTTACTTGGAGAGCTAGGGAACGACATGGGAGACGAGCTCGCTATGTGGTTACCATTAACAAGATCCACGCGAACGAGTGCGAATGCCGTACGCACGAGCAAATAGAGGTGTTCTTTGCCGTCTAGGTGTGCTCATTCCAATTGCCCTACGTGCCATGATTGACGATGGTCCTCCTGGAGTCCCTTGAGACAGACGGGCTGGTGAACCTGCTGCAGAAGGAGTTGAGGCAAAGAAAAGGGGTTGGGGCGGGGGAGCATTCGGTATGGATTGTTCGACCCCATCTTGCATATCAATGTCGTCAAAATCGGAGGGTGATGGGCCTTGAGACGACATTGTGGTGGGAGGGAAAACGCGTCTCGTTGAACGCGTCGTCGTGACAAGATTGGACGCGTCTGTCACACTTACGTATCACCTGTGCGTCACGTCACGGGTGATTTCCTGCGAAACTGTGATAGTGTGAATTTTTATAAAATTACTGGACAAACAAAATCTGAACTCTCCCAAAGTGTCTGGTAATTTACAAACCAGCTTTCTCCTTCGCTGCTTCTTCCTCCGTGACAACTCTGCCCTGCAATTCCTGCGCAACCTCATCGGCAAGCGTTCTGACAGTATCCTCATCACGCCCAATAAGCGCAACGTATACGCCGCGCATGAGAAGCGGGTAAGAGCCAACACGCACCCCCGCTGATTTGGTGCGAGCTTGAAGAGCGGTGAGGTAAGGCGCAATAGATGATTCCGGAAGACTTGGGGAAATACATAGAAGAAAGATGAGTGTCGATATCACGAGAACATGGCCGTTTGCACGCACTTGGTGAACACCTGCAGCCTGAACGGCCGCTCGCTTGGGGGAGGGAGCGGAAGGTATGGCTTTAATCCATCTAGCATCCGCTGGAACAATTTAGGGATTCCAGGGAAGATACATAATTTGCCTTCTAAGCGGACTACAGGCTAGAAGTCCTGATTATTAGGTTATCCTCAACTATGTATTGCAACGGAGTGATGTACCACCCAAATGTCTGGAGCAATGAACAGGGCTTCCGCACTGGCTGGAAATAGGGCCATGCGTTCCCGAGCTTCGCGCTGCTCCGCCGTCTGGTTCGCTATGTCTATGCGATGACGGCTCATCTCCGTCATTCGAGACAAAGTCTCTGTATGATGCACTAGGGGTTGATTGAAGGCTTTCGCCAACGACGCATACGTGATGTCTGGAAGTCATTGCTTGAATCACCGCCAATCTTAAAGTTCAACGCCTCAGTATACTGACCATCATGCGTAGGTCCAATTCCACCAGATGTTATGACGAAGTCATACGTTTTGACTAAACGACAGCTGGCCTCAATACTGACAGCAGTGGTTCACGGATGATTCAAAGTGGTAACCGAAGAGCAACATACATATCGTCTTCATCATCAGGAATTACTTCTATGCGTTTTCTGTACCCACTCGTGTTAAGTATTCGGTATGTAAGAGAACCTACTCACAGATCGATTCCCTGCTCAAAGCAGAACCTGGCAAAATAGTTGGAGTTCCGGTCCAACGTCTTTCCATTCAGTATTTCGTCTCTGTGAATTAAAAGTGTCGAGGAAGTTCAAATGCAAGATAACGGAATACGACATGCAATGGAACACGCAAGATACAGCATGGATTCAATGCATCTGAGCCAACGTACCCAATAACCAGAGCTGCAGCAGATTTGATGAACCTCCCTTCCCCAAGCGGATTATCAGGAATAGGCGACACGGGGAAATTCCATTGAATCGGTTGCGATGCGTCTCCAGACGCGGTGATTGCAGAAGGTGCAGCAGAGGGGTCGGCAGGAACGGTGGGTACAGACATATGTCGTTTCGGTGTGAAGAGAGCGGAAAGACGCGATAAGACACTTAGAGAATGCTGGAAGGTATCTTGAGATCGCGGGCGGACTAGATGACGTGAGACAGAAACCAGACGGAGAGCCGCGCTGGGGCACATAACAATAGATAGAATGGTACTAAGAGTGATAGAATCGAGACGTTCCAGTCCAAGTCCGCATCTACAACGATCAGCCGTTCCTCGATATCGAGGGAGAGAAGATAGGCTGTCGGCCCTAAACTGTTGTAACAATACGCTGTCAATGAGGAGTTAGTTGATAGGACAATGTCACACGACGACTGACATACACTCGCCCTATGCATATGCATAAGTTACACGCATAACTTCAGTTCATAATTTTGGCTTCATTTTGTACTAAGCTATAGAGGAAAATTCCCAGGTTACGTCATTACACGTGACCGCGTGTTCAATAACCAACACCGATCGCGATGCGGACTCGGGCCCTAAGCACGACACCACCGTTGCGCAAGACCAACTGAACGTATGCCATTTCAGTAATATCTTTCATATCATTCGACGTTCCTTCAGAGGCTTAGGCCCCGTTCCACTCGCTTGCTCCTATTTTACTGATTTTGGATTACGCGAATTATCGAAGATGACGCCATTTGCTACACGATTTCTTAGTTTGTGTCTTCTTGTCGCCTTATTTTCTCTTGCGCGGGCGACGCTCTACGTGCGTCAATGTGTTTGTTTCTCTACCTCTGATAATATGAGGCTGAATCGAAGATAGGTTACGGAGCCCGTCTCATCCACAACTTGCTATGGCGGTCAGACTTGCACAGTGACATGGTTGGATGACGGCGCTGCACCACTGTTGGCTGAGATTGGTGCCTGCTACGTAGGATTGTACAGCACCGACAAAAACGTACGTATACGGTATCTATGAACCCGCTACCTTCCGGTGATGACTTTACGCCCTTACAGGTCTTAGTTCAACAGATTGAACCGGTCAATGTTGCCAGCGTGCATTCGCTTGAATTCATAGTTTGTATCTCTGCCCTTGCACACACCATTCTATCTCAGATGATCTTTCTTTAGCCCGATCCGTCTGCTGGTCCCAATACGAGTAACTAGTGGGTAGCCATACTTCCAATGCGTCTACATTGACTGATTTATTCACCGTATAGCTATATCATGTTTACGTCTGTCGAGCTCGCCAACTATACCCAATACTCGGCCGATTTTACGTGCGTTTGCGACTTGCGCAACTTTTTGTTTGATTCAACTGATTTCTAACACCAGCCTTAAATCGATGTCGGGGATCTTCGCGATACCCGTTCCGAGCGACACCTCCGCTATCCCAGTGCCCACTGCAGTCTTGAATCCACCCATTGACTCGATCATTCCCGCAACGACCGTGATAGACGTTTTCTCGTCGGTATTGGCTGTTAGCAGCCCTTCTTCAACGGTAACTACGAAGAGCACGACATTCAGCACCACAGCTGTTGTTCCCTCGTCTGGACTCACAACTTCCCGCGTGTCAAGCTCAACGTCGTCGGTCACGCCGCCCATATTACCGTCGCCTTCAGCGATGCAGTCGGCCGCCGAACGAAGCCTGGCTGTCATGATCCCTCTGTATCCACTTCCGTTTGCGGTAGGTTTGATTTTATTTTGCCTTTCATGACGAGCGATAGGTTTCAAGTGCCGCTGTTTTCCTGTGACACATCTAGCTATTCATTTCACACCTATCTCTCCATCTCCTGTCGTCCTGTCCCCCTTCGCTCTGTTATGCACTCTATCGACAGTCACGATTTAACGTCTTCGTCGATATGTATCCTTCCCTGCCTTCCAACCGGTGATACCTTTCCCTCCATCTCACATTGACTGGCATACCTTGCCGTTGCTAGAATGCTTGCTATTCCTATGGTTTTTATGTCGCATCTACGAGAATAAAGTGACTTTCATTTGAGCTAAACGATCTTATTTTTATTCTCGATGCCTTGGTCAATAAGTATTTTGTTAATCAGGTTGTCTGTCGCCACTGATCAATCCAAGATGATATATGGTAGCATACATTGGCATCATGAGATCAAGAAGAGCAAAAAATAGAGGTGTATCCCCCCGCTCCGAATACACCAAAATAAGATTGGGACAACACGAGAAAATTGACCACGCCATTTGGAGCCCAAATTGTCATGGTTTGAGTGGGAAATAAGGCATTATAAGGTATGCAGTGACCACATATAAATGATATTATAATTCGACTCATGGGACAAGCATTAGATAAATGAATAGGGTGGAGGCCCATCTACCGGTGTATCTTCATATACGAAACGTAGCGTTAGATCGGGTCGGACCGTATCCAAATTTGGGCTACCTTGATTTAGCAGGTTCCTCTCAGGCTGCACAGATTGATGAGTGGACAGCGTCCTCCTGAGTATTGCTTCGTGGTGTAGTTCCTGGCTCCTGTCGGAAGATATGTGCATACTGTGGCGTTCTGACATAGTTGCAGCTCGATGAAGACTCGGAGGGGGGTATGGGGGACGATTCCAGCGTGATCGACCATCTGGCAGCGCAGTGGGAGATGGAGGTCTCGGTATATTGTTTCCCGAAATACCGGTGCGAGTACCGTATTCCTGGCTCACCAGCGAAGGTTCCAAATGTGCATGTGGGGCCCGGCCCTCGACACTATGCTCTGCTTCCATGTGCGCCGAGAATGCGGGCCTCATCTCCGTCAAACCTGGTGAAGGTATGTGAGCCCACCGGACATGTTGAATAGGAAATCCTGTATGACACACCAACAGGTCTAGACAAACGTTCCTGGTAGATCACTTGCGACCGAAAGGTGCTACTGTTCCCCTTGCGTGCACATCTAACCAAACTGCCCAAGATTGCAAGTCCTGCAGTGATTCCGGCCGCAATGCCCACAATGGTACCTGGTGATATGGAAGGACCCGACCCAGGAGCTTCCATGGATGGATGGGGGCTGGAAATGTTGTAAATGATGTGGCCGGGGGGTGGTTACGCTCAAGCTTTGAAGGATTTTGCTAACCCCATGCAGGGAACCGTCTACGTTGGGGCAGGGAACACTCGCCATCCCATGTCGAACTGAAGCGCCTAATAGACACCGCATCAGCCTTCATATTTGACAGATAGAGTATTGTGATGCGTCACATTACCACAATCTGCTATTGTCATAAACAAAGGTGATCATGAAATCCGAGTCTTTGAATTGACAAAAACTGTCTCCGGGGAGAAGACTCAACTGATAGTATGATATGTCTTACTGCGGGATACATGAACCATCTTGGGGAACGTTGGATAGTCATTCTAATCCCGCGAGCTCACATGAAGCGTACGTAAGTGTTGTAAAAGCGCTGTGGTGATGCCTGTCAGTAAACTGCTACTTTCAGCAGTGCCTCGACCTTCGGTTAACGCTACGGATACCGCAGCCTGAGGCGAGTCGCGTGCTTATACACTTGACTGCCCGGGTAGCATGCGTTGCCCTATGTAATCATTGGAGGTAATCTTAAGGGTGGAAGACCATACCAGAAGGCAAATAGGAGAACAAAGGCTTGGCAGTAAAATGGTTAGTCTTACCTGGAAAGATTAGCCTAGTCCAATCCTGACCGGTCAAGGGTGACAACGGAACATACAAATAACCCATAAAGAGCAGACTCCCAAGAGACGAAAGAGTGGATTGGCAGAAGCGAGGAGTTCTGAAGAAAGAATGTTGCATGATGTTGTCATGAATCATGACATTTTGGCACAGAATCGAAACTTACATCAATGCGAACGTGTTGACTTACACTGGTCTGTAGAGAGCATAATTTCTATGATCGCGAGGGACCACAAGCACAACCGTCTGGCTAGCCTATGACTCCGATATGCGGTGTCTGAAAAAGGTGACAGGGAACAGGCTGAGTGTCAGCAACCAGGTCGGCTGCATATGTACTATACACGACGGACCTTGACAAGCCGTGACTGGCATTATGAGAACGGTTCAATGACTTGGGCCTTGGCTGATTTATTGAAGGCTCGAGGCCCAACTTGAGGCCTTCAAGCTGCCAGTCTTGCGGGCCGTGATGACCCGGAGCCGGAACTAGCTGGAATAGACGAAGCTCCAAGTGGACTTTGTCCCGACCATGCAGTGAGATACTGCCGGTGACCTTGATTCCTCGCGCATTGTTCATTTTTTGACAAACTAATGTTACATATTTCAGATAGCCTACAACGTCTGCTTGATCCAGCACCCAACAGAAGAGATATTTAGTTTCCTAAACTTGCTCCTCCATCCGCAGAGTAAAAGTTATCCTCCACAGACCCATGCGAACCGCTCATCATCGATCCCCAGTACCTCACTAACCCTACAGGTTTTGTGCCACTGTGCGCCCCCTTACTCCATGTGCTTGATTGAGCGCATTCGTGCGAGTGGCTACCCAACGGCAGACTTCGTTAAGCCGGCAGGTGAAGCCGATGCGGATCTGGACGACTTCATCCCGAAGAATAATTGCACTACATCTTACTATTCATCGACTTGCCGAATGGCACCAGAGGATGATCCACAAGGTGGCGGGGTTGTTGACGACGAACCGAAAGTACTACATGGGGTGGGCCAACTGCATGTTACAGGCACGTTGGTGTTCCCTTGTGTGGTCAGCACTCATTTGCAGGCTGTTGCAGTGATGGTTGCCGAGAAGTGTGCAGACATGATACTGAATAGTACATTAAAGTAACGTCATTTCTGTGTCACTCATCTGGACACACTGGGGAATGTGTGAATGAGGCGGTATATCTTAAACTACAGCATTCGCTACATCAGTGGGAGGTCCAGTACTAGGCGGATCAGAGAAGGTATGGACTTCATGCTTGATCGTTAAGATTCCCCGCGCATTCCAATGGAGTTGACGGAGCCCTCCATTGATGGTGTTCTGCAGATCCTGCACCTCCAATTCTGTGACAGCCTCTGAAATATGCCACTCCATCCCCACGACGACCTCTGTAAGGCTAGCAAATTGCTTCAGCATAGTGATATTATTGAGCGGTGTCCAGTCCATGGTCAGTTGAACGTGCATATCACCAATGCCATGGTATCGAGGATCAATCCCAACCTTGAAGTCAAGGTAAAGATGCCGTATCATGGTTGATGAGATCGAGAAGAGTGTTCTCGCGATGTGTCCCCAAGCGATCGTCCATGGCCCGACAAACAAGTAAAATAGACGAAGAGATTGAAGGGAGGAGTTGCTTAGGAGACCGGCATGGTCGTCATCTATGGACGACCAGGTGAGATTAGACCCAAATATCAAATACAATTGAGATAAACCTCCAATGAGCACAGGAACAGCGACATCCGTAAGGGGTGCACCTAAAGCTTGCAGTAACAACCCCGCTGTTATGTGCCAATTCGCCGTAGTTGGTAACATTGGGTTTAGGTGAAGCGATCGAATTGTACGATCGCAGCCACTGGGGGTCGAGCGGATCCAGTTCAACAACTCAATAAATTCATCGGATGGGAGCCCTTTAACGTGCAGTAGATGAAGCCTCAACCGATCCCCTGTGGAACGAACCCCAGGGACAACCGGTATTGGGGAGTGTGATTTGATAGAAATATCCTGTATGGATACCTCTGTTAGCTGGGGAAGCTCACAAAGAAGGCGTTGGAATTCTCTAAACGTGCCAAACGTGCAGGAGATCAGCTCGAGACGAGTGATTGTTGTAAGGAGAGCCAAAGAGGAGAAGAAAGTGGAATGTGGGGATCTCTTTTCGTGCCAATGAGCCTCACGTAACACTATCGTCCTGATCGCCTGCCGACAAGAAACCAGCAAGTGTGGTATCTCCTGTACATATGGACGAACACCACCGTCCGTTAAATCCAATAGGGAAGAGTGCCCCTCAAAAAAGGATCTAGGGCGTGGGGCATGTAATACAAGCTGTCGGAATGCAGAGAAAGTGGCACAATCGCGGATGTGGACCCGAATGTACAGGAGCATCCGACTTCGATTGTACCAGGAGGAATGCGTCAGGGCACACTTGCACAGAGATGGGGGATCATCCCAGAGGAAGTCAATGATATGATCGATGATTTCCTGTGCCAGCCGTGCGGTAGCCATAAGATTATATCGGAAAGCGGGCGACGCAATGTAGGAGCAGAAGTTGCAGGGCTATGTTGTGTCTGCGATGAACAATTGATTTGAAGTCAACAAAGTATCCACAGATCTTTCCAAATGATCATACCAACACTGGGAGGTTGAGATAGTCGTCCCACGGCGAGGGCTCGAGGATGTGTCGGTGGAAATTGTTCAAGTCGATGAGTGCTGCTGGAGTGTAGTCTCTTGTGAGCAGGTGGGTGCATCCTTCAGCCTTCGTTCTTGTAAGCTTCTGATATCCGTATCAATTATCACCGCAATCGCCCCGTGGTCGATATCGGTACATCTACCGCTCTGACAAGTCATGTGTAACAATACGTCCGTGAACGCGGCGTTCAGTTCTCCTTGTCGCGCAAGACTTCTCGTTTTGGACTTCGAGTCAAGTACCTCTTTACCTCGAACTGTGTTCCTGGTGGCAATACATAATGCATGAGTCCTTATGGTCGAGGTATTAGAGATCATGAAGTTAACTGTGATTCAGATAATCCGTCAAAAAGACAGCCTCTCCGATCTCGAGTCTCGTCAGTGGTCACTCGACGAGGCCCGGGCCGGTCAGAAAATAGACTGCTGAAGCGCCGCTCAAACACATTTGACTAGGCACGTCAAAGGCCGCGCAGCGGCGCAACGATGTGCGTCGGCTGTTATCGTTGAGGCCTCAGTACTCAGTACTCAGTCATCTTCGTATGTTTTCTTTACTCTGATTCGCCTCTCGAGCATGGGCGTCCCGAAATCCGTCTTATGGCCAACGCACGTCTTCTCCGACGGGTACTTCTACGGATGGACCTCTCCCCTTATATGCGTTGCCGGAATTATACAGGCCGAAACTGTGCGTCTATCCCACCTCGCACTTATCTTTGCCTTTACTGATCGGTTGTCCCTAGAAACAAATTGCGGAGGCTAATCTGCATAGTGTTGTTGCAAGCCCGGAGTGGGGTGAACTTTCAGGCCGATGTGGTTGTCATCCTGTCATCCTCGGCTTTTGTTCGTTTGACTTGAAGCATACTTTACAACCACCTCGGTTGGAATTTTACGAGAATAAGCAGGATCATGACAGTGCGCTCCAGTCCGCTTTGCTGCGCTGTGTTGTACCCGCCTGACGGGCTAGTTGAAGGCAACCTAATTCTGATCTATTACCGGCAACCCAAACATGAATTGATGCAATTCTACTCTCTTGATGTCAGCGAATTAGACATTCTCCCATCCCAGCCAAATAGAGGAACTACAGAGCTGAGTTCGACCCAGGGTGACACAATACTTATGCATGACTTCACGAAACCGTCATTCGGTCGAGCGCCAGCTCTCAATTCTCTGGTGTTGCACCAGGTACTGAAACTGCTTCAATGTCCTAGTTCTGAATTTAACCCATGAGTCTAGATTAACGCTGCACGAATGTTGTCAGACATGGTGGAACGAAGCAATTTATATCATGAGGCTACTCAACCTCCAGTCCTACCTATGGTCACTCGTGGCGACCTCACTTCCGATTTCACCACTCAGTTTCAAACCTTGCGATCGGCAACAGCTCGAGCGATGCATTTCATCGTATCCCACTTGAGGAACATATCAGCTACAGGTCCGTGAATATCTTGCGCTGAGATGTTTTCTGCTGATGTTAGTTAGTCGAGCAATTCGACATACGATTCGAGCAGGCTTCCTTCGTTCATGTGCAACACTCCGTGATATACTCGGGAGGGAACTCAAGGTCAGTCACCACAATTTCTCGATACGTCAAGTAAGTCCAATACTCGCGAACTCTCAACGGTTCAGTAATTTCTTAATATTATCAGATTCTACAATTGCATTTGGCTAGTCTTGAATGACATCATCATCGGAATCGCCTTTGGCTCATTCATCTGCGAGAACCACCAAGCCCTGTCTCATCTGTTGCAGCACTGGGTTCAGGTAGAGCAGTTCATCACCAAGAACAGCCGTATATGTTATGCTTATGCATAGTAGCTTTACCTCGTTGACCATATGCAGCGAGCGTTGCTGTGGCTCAATGATTGGCCTGCAGGCCTCAAGTTGAACACCGAGCTTAGTCAGTTTTACTGCCATACCTTGCTGGGAATCATCTCGATCTGGGGACGTGAGCTTATTCATTTCTGTCTGTCCACTATAATTTGTGACGGGTAGACGTGCAGAGATCCTACGATTTGTGTCGCCGTATTTTCCGGCCATGTTCTGGACTGTAGGCGTCATGGGCTGCTGCGGGATGACCATGATAATTTCATTATTCTTCGATGCGCTCAAGTTCTTCACTGCCCACTTATATCTTTGCTACCTCCTCGTCGCAACAACATACCGATACCTGCTTGGCTTCATAGGCTCACTGTGGAATCTCTTTCGCGGTATGATTCTTCGAGCTCAATGGGAGAATATGCAGTACTGACGAAGAATGAACACAGGGAAGCGCTTCAATGTCTTGCGCAATCGGCTCGATTCTTGGGATTATGATATTGACCAGTTACTGCTCGGGACCATTCTCTTCACCCTAACTGCATTCCTCTATCCGACAGTGCTGACGTACTATTCCCTCTTCGCAATGGTGATATTATATGTCCGTTGCTGTCGTTCTTTACTTATTGTTCCGCAGACCCATCTTGTGGTGATCATGCTTCAAGCGATCTTGGACACTGTCTCAGCGTTGCTCAATCATTTCCCTCTGTTTGCATTGATGCTTCGTATCAAGGACCCAATGCGTATGCCAGGTATGTGTATATAAGCACTAGATACATTGATTGACTAACATTTCTGTAGGTCGTGTCACACTCAAACGCACAAAGGAGGGGACGTTGATGCTTGAGGTATGTCTTGTCGTCTTGGCATGGTGCTATTGCGTCAGGCAGCGTCTGACGTTCCCCAGAATCAGCCAGCACAGTTCTCCTCTATTTTCACGCACTATGGTGAGTACTGCAAAGCTATCCGGAGTCGTCGGGTATGAGACGCAATATCTCTTCAGCGCACCTATGGTCTCGTCTGTCCTCGCACTATCACCCTTTGCAGATGTTGAATCTTCTAGTGTTAGGTCGGCGACTAACACCTATCTCCCGTGCCTTGATACGATTCAGTATGATCACGGATCGCAGGGATGTGAGTAGCAAGTAAGTGAACAAGAGACAAGTATTTCTAAGACTGCGTGTGTATCATACTGTAATATGCTATACCTAATCCTTAAATCCATGGCGCGACATAAGTGGGTGCAACGTGGGTAAGTGTAAAATAGCGTACATACATGAATAATCTACATAGACCCAAGCATTAATGGTAGTAGGAGGATTCCGAAAAGTTCGATGGCATCACAAGTATCTTACAGTAGTCTCACCTTCCAACAATAATTCAGCGCTTTTTGTATCTTCCCCCATGGCTAGAATGATACGGCGATGAGCACATGAGAGTGACAACAAAATTTATGGGCCTACTCTGCCTCTCGCTCGATCCGTGCACGTTTTTCGGCGTGCATTTCACGGGCACGATCGTTGATTGCGACCGTCTCCTGAGTATCAGGAAATCCGATGCTCCAATATTTCGGCGGCGTCGTTGGGGGTGCCCACCGCTGACGATGTCGCGAGATCTCTTGTTTATGCTGCCGAACATCCTGTTCTCGCCGCCCAGTTTCATCAGAATCGAAATCAGGGTCAAAACTGGTCGACGGGCCCGCCATATTGTGCTTGTGCTTGTGACAATGAGTCTTGCGTCTGGATGGGCTGGACTGCGGAGAGCGCCATAGAGGAGGCTTCAAACGAGCAGGAAGGGGGCCAACCGCATCGTAATACTAACAAAACTCAGTCGTGTTCATCTCCACAGATATAAACACTTACATTGCGGCAATCGTCACAATCTCCGGCATCCAACCGCTTGCGGCGCTCCTTGTTCCGGACTACTTCCTCGAACTGAAACTGTACTCCACCGTTCTGCACGGGGTCAATCTCATACAACGCATTGATCGCTGCGTCCTCAGAGCTGCACGGAGCTTAGTCGATCTGCTGTTCAAGGCAAAAATATGTCGATTACCTATTAGGCGCAGCGTAACGACCCCGCCCTTTATAGACAGAGTAGTCTCCCGATCGCGCCTTTGTACTCCTTTGAACACTCCCGTTCTCTTTGTCCGCGTTATTTCGTGCTGTTGAAGTGGTGCCTGTACTAGATCGGTGAGGCGTGGAACTACGCGACAACGAAGATGAAGCGACGCCTTCTTGAACTACGCGGCCAGATTTGCAAACATCGGCCGAGTCTTTGCTAAGACCCGTATGATCAGCCTGCGCAGCTCCATCACGTTGACACTGATTGCTATTGCTTGCGAGCCTTCGGATACGAAGCCCTGGCTGAGTAAAATAAACAGGATCAGGCGCTGTTGATACAACTCTTCTCAGTACGGAAACTGGTGCGTATGACTATGATTTACCCTGTGAATCATCTTCGGTTTCGGACGAAAGTGTCTCCCCGTATTTGCGCTTCCGGCCTCTGCGCCTTGAAGGTGTTGCGATCGGTGAGCTGTTTGGCGAATGTTGTATCCTTGGCTTCATGACCGCAGAATCGATAGCATCCTGCTGGGCTTCTTCCAAGAGACGTCTAGTGAGAGAGCTGGGCGGTAAAGCTTCAGCAAACTCATTTCTGTCAGATGTTCGTGTTTCCTTGATCTCGTCGGCTATCACGAAGAACCGAATAATTAAGCGCATGTATATCAGGGCCAACTGGTACTGAACGTACTCGTGGGTGGCGTTGCTGAAGCCTTCGTCACCACCGCAACATCAGACAAATTTGCACTCTCGGGTATACTCACCCGTGGTCCTCTCATCAGATAATTCTTGCGTACTTTTTGCAAGTTTTCAAGGTTCACTGGCTTGCCATCTATCATTGTGTCGGACAGTGATCCCTCTTGCCTGTTGGTAATCCACTGCTTGAAATTTTTCCACTTCAGATAGTGATCCTTATACTTTGCATCGTCCCGCTTCTTCTGGTCCTGTAGCGTTTCGTACTTCTCGCGCAACTCGGTGTATCGAGCACTGAGGAGGCTCAGGTCAGTTACAGGACTGTCCGAGTGGTCGTCCACAAAGGGAGACAGCTGTGGAGTGATATTGGACCTGCTAGACACAATATTTTCCTTGTGCAAGACTGGAGACGAAGTTGCAATCAGAGGTGTAACATCACCCAGTGCCCTGCCATAGTAGTCAGCATTCAGCTAGACATTTGAATACAAACAATATACCTCTTCTTAACTACCGTCAAAGCTGGGGTGGGCAGTCCTGTAGTGGAAGCCAACGGGCGTACAGGAGTCTCGAGTTTCCCCTCAAATCTATCCAGTGTACCCTTCAAAGCCTCGTTCTGTTGATTTGCCGCTATCAGTTCTGCCACCAGCCTCTCATTCTCCTTCTTCAGTTCGTGTATTTCCTGAGATGCGTCCACTAATGCTTCGCGAGCTTCGGCATCCAGCTCGATATGCTTCGCGACTTGGGTTTCAAGTAGCTCAACTCGCGTTGCGGCATTCTCTATGAAAAGGCGATTGAAAATCCGTGGGCGCGCTGCTACAGCAGACTCCGCGTCTTCGATGTTCTCGAAGCCCATATCACTCGCTAAGCGATGACCACGTTGAGACGTATCAAACAGCTCATTTCGAAGGCCATCTCCCATATATTTCAGCCTCCTCACCTATGATAAACGTGTCGGTGAGATCCTCGTAAGTCACACTAAAACATCTAAGTTACGGCACACCTTATCCTCCAGTTCATGAATATGCTCTCTCGCAGAGATATTCGCTTTTTTTGCTTCTGGTTTCATGGCGACGAAGATCTTTGAGAGACGGCAAATACAGAGAACATTGTGGTCACTGAGCAGAAGTGGTGTTCATAGGCGTCTTTGTACCGTTCCAGAAACCGGGACACCAATACAATGAGATATCGCGATCACGTGCGCTCAGAGGCCTCCAAAACCCCGGCCAACTTCGAGTTGAATGGGCCAACCGTCTCATTGGCCAGGCAGCCTGACAGATCGTGACTGAAACTCGTCTGAGTTGGTAAAGGTCTTCAAAGGTGTTGGCTCCAAGATCCCGTCGGGTGAAACGATGAGGACTGAGCTTTGACAACTGACTTTGTGAGGTTCTAACAGTACTTAACGCGGTTCATTCAGTGCAAATTTGCTTCGAGTCGGATCAAGATCAGGTTTTCCGTCGGCCGGAGTCAGTCCCGTCCCGAACTTGTAGTCGCACGCGAACATTTACTTCAGCTCGCTTGGCTCCGTCCAGACCAACAACTCAATAGTAACTGTGTTTCCATATGCAATCTGCTCGCAACATTGATTTTCTCAACCCACTTGGTCAACTTGAAATAGATCCAATTTGTTGGTCATAGCTTTGCTCCATACGGACCAATTTGTTATCAATGAGTCATAACAGAACCAGAACCAGCACCTCAAGGTCCATATGCCCTCAGTTTCCATCCACCTCAGTGCCGTTCTCGGAGGAGCATTCATACCAGACTGCACACAAGGGATAGATCCCAGCGGGTTCATTCCCAGCGTCTTGCAACAGCAGTGCCACAACGCCATGCGCTGGAACATCGACCGCCGTGAAGTTACGAATGGCAGTCCCGTTGTCGGTGTGTGTCCACAAGTCCTATGCATCAGAAAGACATCATGAACGATGCACCTAGTCAATGTGTTAGGCGAGGACGACGTACACGAACGGCGTACTGCCTGCCTGCCCGAATCCAAGGTGATTCAGTCAAATTGAAGAACATGTTTGCAGGTTCATCCAGTGTGTTCAGCTATTCGAGGTCAGCGGGTCTTTGACTTAAGAAGGGAACAAGGCTTACCAGCATAACGACTGTACCGTTCTGACTTGGACCACTCCAATACTGCGCAGGATACGAGCTGTTGCTCGTCCAGTCCGCCTTCACCACCCGTGAACAAAAACAGTCCCACTGGGATTCTCACTAACGACTTACATTGATACCCCATCTGAATGGTGAAATGTTCGTGCCAACAACCGGATCTTGGTTAATAGCGAGAATTTCTGTATTCGAAAGGACCTCAATAATCTCGGGTGGCGTGGCAGATAACTGCAAAAGGGGTGAACACGTCCAAGTCCCAAACCAGCAGCTGTATTCGGCTCACATTAGTTCCAATTAGAAGAGGGGATTTCAGGAGTGCCCAAGCGGTAAAATGGGATTTATTCTCCTCGTAAGTTAGGTTCCCGTTGCCACTGTCGTAATATGTTATAAATTGATTGTCTCTGGCGCATAATGATACATACACCTCAAGCTGCAAGAGATATTAGCGAAACTTGCCAATGTAGGATTACTACATTGGCTTACGATATCCATATCATTTCTGCCATAGAAGTTGGTGCTCTGGGTGATGAAAGAGGCACTTCGAAACGTGCATCCGTGCTAGATTAGCAGTTGCTGATAGCTTAAGTGGAAGGCGTACAAATTGATGATGCTTGCAATGGAGTCCCAGTTGGCCTCGATATCACCATCGATCTGTGGGCGAACTTAGACGAGCCTTGTGTGATTTATGCACTTGACAATCCTCACACGCCAGCTATTGCCAACTTGGGGACCCCAACTACAAGTGGACAATTCAGACAACTTCTCTAGTTTGTGAGGGGTCAATGAGGAAACTTACATCCATACTTGACTCTATTCATAGAAGGAAGCGGTTACGCAAACATACTCTAGACATCGTATGACACATACCCATCCCCATTCGCATAGCGAGTAAATTAAAGGAGGCGCTCTGGACGTTTCAGCAAGTTCAGCAATTGCATCCGCCATACGTTGATATTCTACGAGCGAGATGTCACGGTTCGCTTCTATTGTATAGAAGCTTCACATACTGCCGTAAGTTCCTTGTCGGATGACGTCGTCAAAAGGGACTAGAATACGTTAGATGGAGCATCCAGCACATAAACGAGACACTACACACTGTAACAATTGTCATACCTGTAGATTGGTGTTTAGATCATGAGCGAGATGCTTGGGAAATGAAATTTACACACTTTAAGTAATCAAAACCCCAATTCTGGAACGTCGTAGCATCAACCAGCTCGTGCTCGAATGATCCTGCGTAGCCAGCACAAGTGAACCAACCAGAATCGCTATACTGGAGGACGAATTAGTATCATGCTAAAGGGTTTGTTACAACAAGGGTATGAGATAGCTCACGATCCCCGCTTGACTTAAGTGTTCGAAAAGAAGTTAGGGTTTGATGGTGGAGGATTCAGAAATGTACATACAAGCCCATGGCATGAAGCTGAGCGGTCATGTTGTTGAAGCCGTCCGGGAATCTCTGAAGATCTTTGAACGAATTGGTTGGTTTTGGTTTCGGACTTGCAAGAAACGCGAAGAACACACTTGGGACAAGTAATCCCTCTGCACTACGATTCCTCTCCCCCCAGCAATCGTCGAGATTGACGTGCGTATATCCCACATCCTAAAAATGGTGATCAATGCGCGACTCTGATCAAATGACAGCCTATAATCCATCATTCACCTGCAATCCCAGCGATTTCATAAGGGACGCCGTCTCGAGTATCAAACTTTCATCGATATTGCACTGCACTTTTAAGCACCGCGTGTCGTCGACAAACGGACTGTATTGCTCACCGCGTATGAATTCCAAGCTTCACAACCGGCATTTTCTTAGCTGAGCACACAGCATTGACTTCAATAAAGCATCTTACTGTTGTATCCCAGTACTATAGACATTCACACAGTGACCCGTGATATCCAGCTGTATCTAGACAGTTTGAAGCTTACCTGGCAAGCGAGCAACGCCGTTGTCCAAAGCGACCACCCTCGGATGAGTAGAGAAGAGAGTAGCAAAAGCCGTTACTCCTATGATCAAGCCTAGCATGATGTACGCTGAAATACTATGCGAAGGAATGCACCGTGAACCGTGGCAACCCCTCGTTTTTATACCACAGAGCGCTGGTTGAAAAACTGTTCATCAGAGCAAATGATCCTCTCATCCGGACCGTTGGTGGCTGGACAATGCTTCGAACATGTACTCGTGACAGCATAAATAACCGAGGTAAAACTCCGAGACAGCGCAGTAGAGGTGCAGCGAGGGAAGATCCATGAAATACACTTATGCTCATCCCATTCTCCAGAGCGATGTCAGCGAGGTAGGACCGACCGATGGGAAGCACCAATATAAAAGGATAGACGGTGGTCACCGACCACTGAATTGCGAGCGATGGAGTATTAGACAGCCAGTGGCAATGTAGTAAGTATTCATGTTACAAGCCTGTCGACCTGCGTGAGATGTCATAATCAATCAACACGAAACAAGTAATCAAAATTTCATCTGCGTACCTCAAACACCACTGTCACTTGCCCACTGCCACTCCATTGAACGACCTGCGCCATGTAATGATGCACTCAAGCGGTCTTGTCCTTCGCCTCGATGTGGCGTGCATTGACCGCGACAAAGTGGTAAGCTACTACCGTAATCATGGCGAGAAATCCCAGAGTATTGGCCAGATTGTAGAGCTCGTGGTGTGTGATCATCTCGATCTAGTCCAAACATCGTACATATTCAGCAATGCAGGCCAATACTTAGAAGTTGAGAAGACTGACCTTGGTGTCGTGGTCGTCACCGCCAGAATGTTGTTTGTGCCTATTTGACCAATTCTGTCCCAAGTTTCCCTGCAAGACCCGAGCGCCCTCATACTTACACCTCATCAGTATCTTACTGCGTCCCGTGAATCTCTCGCAAAAATGAGAGTAACAGATGTCCGTCGAAGTGATATGCCTGGCCGTATGTTCTGCATTTCCCTCAGCTTTGTATCTATGCTGACACGTGCTTTTAGCCAAGGTCTATGTGAGTGTCTTGTCACCAGTTCCCGTCTCTGAATTGCGCTGCACTGTCTACGGCATAATATTTTTTGGAGTCAGTCAGAAAAGAGCGTGCTGACCAAATCTTGTTTGTAGAACCTGTGGTGGGGTGACCGGGAGCTCCCTAAGCAGAAGGGCTTGACTCAGTACAGTGCGTCAGTCCCGACTAAGTCCGCCCACCTCTGACTGACGATGCGTGCTTTGTATCGGTAATCCGACGATTGCTTACTGACTGGCTGGGTAAAATGGTTCCTTGAATGTGCTTCATATCTATAGGCATGTCACCCATGAGGCAGCGCGCCACTCACAACTTGTTCCGTAACTGGATCTTCAACGGTTACCGCCGACTCTCCGGCCAGATGCCATATTGGATCATTCCATTTGCTATTGGTATGTCTAAGCATCTGTTCACTACTCGGTCTCTATTAGCGTCATGGTCGGCCGCCGAGCGGCTATCGTTCGGTTCTTCGGCGATGTATCCCCATGCTTATTCGTTCTGACGCGTATTGCTTTTTGCAGGTTACGGCACTTATTCGTGGGCCAAGCGCTACGACGCGTATCTCAACAGCAAAGCGGGTCACATTGCGGCGCATGGAGGGCACTAATTAGAACAATAGATTTCTTATCCTCGACTGAAATTTCCCGACCCAAATATGATAGCTACTTCAGCATTTCATTGGCGCACAACATTGACCGCGAACCTCAGCTTTTGGCTCGTCAAGGTTTGTAGACTGCATCAAGACTGACATGATTGCGTACAGACACGGAGCAATTATGCTCTAACTTAATTCTGTGCGAGTAAGTGCGAATCACATAGCAATTCTTGGACCTGCCGTTTATCCTTCACCGATGCCACATTACTAATATAAATTCCGCTGAATCAACGGCAAGATGATATCAAACACAGGAGGTGTTCGTCACGCAGCTAGGAGCAACATCTATGGCATCAAAGTCAGTATTATTAGCACAGAGCCCGAGGGCCTTCCATTTCGCGACTCTACGATTTGAGCCCTTGTTCGGGCCAAAATAACACCTGGAATCCACTACCTCACTGCGCTCCAGGCATGCTGGATTGGCAGGGCCGGACGCTGGCGGCAGTATCTAAATATGACTATACGCACACACACCATGTCCACGGACCACAAGGCTCATGATTGTGTGAGTACTTCTCGAAATAATCTCCGGCATGATTGCTAAGGCAATTGCGGAAATATGCACCTATACCAGCCACGAAAGACGTATATTGGATTACAACATAATGGTTACTTCTTTATATTTATACATGCGACAAGCAGACTACAGGACAGCGACTCGGCTTGAGTTTTGCAACATGATTCATGCGCCGTTCTTAACAGCTTGCCATGACGGGCGAGAGGTGATGTCCTTCCACCATCTAGTGGAAAGATAAAATTAGCTGCTGTACATTTAAAGAGCCACATCGAGAAAGACATAGCGGAACACGAGCTCTGCCTTACCTAGCCACATTAGGTCTGGTTCCGGACTCGAGGACATCGATGCCCATCACCCCAAGCATGGCGCCATATGGGATGTGGAACAAATCGGCAAGAGTGACCTCCTGTTTAAAACGCATGGATGTTAATGACAGTTTTTCGTATGCAATAAATGTTCACTGACGTCACCAGCGAGGTACTTGGAAGTGGAAAGGAGGACCTCATACGCGTCCAACTTTGCGTTTAACTGCTTCGTAAGGGATGCGACGACCTCCTCGTTGGTTTCACCAAGACCCTTGCGGCTGTCGTGGGAGATGAGTGTCAAATAGAGAGCCGTGCTAATTTGAGAACTCACGGCTTGAAGACCTTCTCGAAAGCCAAGCCCGACGCGAAGGGGTCAAAATTAGTGAGTTCGATACTCGCGGCTTGCTCGAACAACGCCGTGTTCTTGAAGTCGGAAGGGTCGGGGAGAATCTTGTTCCCCTGCCCGGCATACTTGAGAGCAATGTAACGGCCAATCGCGCGGCTCTCATAGAGCTGGAAGCCGTCCTCCTCGACTATGTACGGCACCTGGCCGAAGGGCTGCTTGGTCATGAACTCGGCACTTTTGTGCTCGTTCTTGGTGAGATCGACGGGGACGAGCTCATAGGGAACATTCTTCTCCTTGAGCACGAGCGCGACGCGACGGGTGCAGGTGGATAAGGGGAAGCCGTAGAGTTTCAAGACCATGGTAGCAGGGGGATGTGGAGGGAGACGATGCGGCTGGGGTTGCGGGGCATGGCCTAAATAACTTTAATTTATCGATGCCGTGGATTTTGAGTGCGGCGGCCGCTGTCTTGATTGTTCGCGATGAGGAGCGGGACGGAGTTGTGTCCTTCTGTCCGATCTGGGCCCGTGGGAATCCTATCATCATATGGGGCGGGAGGGGCGCGCTCATCCGCCGCACAGTTTGCGAGAGAGGACCGATATGGCTCTCGACTTCCCACGGAGACGCCAATTTGAAACACCCATGACTTACCCATGACCTTGTAAAATTGTAAGTCCCTGGATGCTGACTGAACGCTTGCTCGTTTTGAGATGAGGCCCCTCATGATGCGGCATCGCTGACTCTCCGTACAGCAAATGGCGCGCCACCGGTCGATGGCTGATGCAGGACATGTGACGAGTCGTACTACAGTACTTATTGGAACACTTATATAACTTATGACAGACACAACCTCAAGCATCACCAATCACAACTTGACCACCGTTCTCTCAACCATGCCCCGACTTATTGCTGTTTGCGGCGCCACGGGCAACCAAGGTCAGTCATTCTTACTAACGTGAAACCGTTCTCTGAACTCGGACATCCCTTGCAGGAGGTTCCGTTGCAAAGCTGCTCCTGCAGTACCCCAACGAATATACCGTTCGCGCTTTGACGCGGGACACTGCGTCCCCAGCTGCCCAGGCTCTTGTCAAACTCGGCGCACAAGTCGTCAAAGCAGACCTGACCGTCCCCTCGGACGTTAACGAAGCTCTGCGCGACTGCTGGGGCGTTTTCGCAGTAACCAATTTCTATGACCCGGTGTGTACGAGAGATACCCGCGTTTCAATGGTTATCTTCGGTCCTCATTCAATGTAATCAGAAAATCAAGGATGACCCTGGAAGCGAAGAGCGACAGGGGAAGAACTTGGTGGACGCATCTCTAGCAGCGAACGTGAAATGCTTTGTATGGAGCACGCTCCCCAGTTCCAGGAAGATTTCTGGCGGCCGCCTGGTCTCGCGTATTTACGAAGGTATGCTGTCTCTTTGCCGAAACCTGACACACCTGACATGAAATTAGGTAAATACCAGGTTGACGATTACATCCGAGAGACGGGCCTACCCGCGTCTTTCTTGTATACTGGGAACTTCTACGAGAACATGGTTTACCGGTCTCACATGCAGTACCATTCTGATCGGGATCTTGTTGAATTCCGCCAGCCCATCGTCAAAGACACGACGGAATGTGAGACTTCATGCTTGTTCATCCATCTGGTGGCCATGAATGCTGATAGCGAATTTGAAGTGGCGATGCTGTACGTCGAGAAAGACCTTTCCGGAGTAACGAAAGCAGTCTTCGACCAGTGGGATTCTAAGGCTGCGGAGCTGAACCATCAGTACCTGTATGTATGCAACGCAAGAGTGAAGCCAGTCGACATTCTCGCCAGCGTCAAGAAAAGTAGGGTCGTATTCAATCGTGCCCTATCATCTGCTGATCTCCTTTGATTTCGTGTCGCAGTCACAGGGAAAGAGTGCATATACACCGTGCTCCCAACCACTGGTGTTCCCGATCGCGACATCATGTTCCAGCTGTATAATGAGATGGGAATGTATGGGACGAAGGAGATCCCCGACGAGAATATCCTCAAGCTCGGGGTGAAGCTGCATGGAATTGACGACTTCGTGAGAGAAAAGCTGGCACCGCACCTGGGTCTACCGGTGCTTCAATAGTAAATTGTAAATCGTAAATTGTAGCTTGTAAATTGTATTTCTATTCATATTCGTTCAGGAAGCGTGGACTAAGCGTGGACTTTACGATCCGCATACGACTCGTACTTTTACCATATTCCTGCCTTTCTACCTCTTTACGATGATCGGACTCGCTATCAGACTGTCAGATTTTTCGTAGGCGGTATCCGACGCAATTTTGCATGATCAACCGAGGCTGCCAGATTCGTGATGCATCAAGTGAAATTGTGTTTCGAGCGCCAGGAATATAAACAACAGACTGCAGAGGACACACGCACAGCTGAGATATATAGGGATACGTGGAGAGTATACACAATGCAAGCCACACGAACTTGCTGCGATTCAGTGTGGCAGAACACCGCCAACTTGCCGCGATGCGGGCTGTGCGGCAAACGTGCACGTCGCGATCATGTGATCGTGGCGTTTCATTGGCCTTGCCATCGCGCTCAGCGCTGAGCCCTCACGAATCGAAGCTTCAACGGGCTTGAATCAACCGTTTGTTCGCACTGCATCTACATCGCTCAGGCAGCTTCGTATGAAACACTGAGCGGCAGCAGAAATGCCAGGGGAACTAGATGATCAGACCAAGGTACGTAGTGAATAACCACCCTAGTCGCCAAAATTGGATTTCTTATAGCAAATATATCTGTAGTCCTGTGTATACATTACACCAGATATCTGGAATGGTAGACCTTTCAGCTTGAAGTTTAGCTCTAAGTCTATTTATGCATATATATATATATATAGAAGACGAGAGCATAGATTATGATTCAATTCATCCTCTACAGTGGCGAGACCTCCCTGGCGGACATGAGCTTCGTATGCAGGCGTATAGGATTGCATGGAACCGATGTTTCACTCGTATGCAGGTACGTTGCTCTAACTTGTATCATGTAAGTAACCTGACGCAGGATAGTCAATCATACATGCACTTTATGCGTCCATCATTTCTCAAATTGTCTCTCAAATAAGTGACGCATATTCTAGTGTCCTGCCCGGACTGCCTTACTTCGAGCTCCCTGTCATAGCAATATCAGGTGCGTCGCTGTCGCGGAACTCGAGACAAACAAACAATCTCACGTTCATAAATATTCAGCCGAAGGAGGGGGTTTCTCCGTCCATTCAGACATATGTCGACAGCTTGATGATATGTCCGTTCCTGACAGCTTGTCAGGAGAAGATAATATGTTAAAAAATGAACACGAGCCTCGTGGAGCGCTTCAAATACACCTGTATGCGGGTGATTGTCTAAACACTGCCGCCATGATGAAGGCAGTCGTAACAGGCTTCTTGGATCTTGTGACAGAGAGCGCGTCAAGTACGTGATTGCAGTCGAGTTTGGTCAAGTTCTCTCAGCACACACTATTGCTCGTTAGGCAATGTCAGACGCCGGCCTGCGGCTTCGCTTGCAACTTATGATATCAATCTCCTGAAGGCTTGGTACGCAGCATTAGGTATGCGCATATTCATAAATTCATTATGAATCTGGACCTATTCAACTCTCGCAGAGAGGCGGTACAACCTTGTCGTTTTCATGCACAACTTTGAGCAATTTGACTCCGCGGTTGTCCAAGATGTCTGGTATATCTGCAGGCCAGTGCTTTATTCTCTCACTCATTTTTGGTGCTTCCAACTTTCTCTCTCTCGCAGTTCGCACGTACCGCAACTCCCTCTAATATTTGTCTTGGCCATGTCGTCGCCCTCATCACTGTCACACTTGCACGCGATGTACCGCCGCTCGACGCTTGCCCTACTTCGTATCCATAGCTACAGCGTGCCTTCCGGGCCTGGAATGGTAGAGTCCATCGTCAGCAAGGTGCGCTGGTCGATTTTACGAATGACATAGTGCTAACGAAAGCCTGATCAGACTTTCTTCGATGTTAGCTTTGAACCGTCAGTGATGCTTGGGCCGGACATACTTGAATACATTAGCGATTTTGCTTCTCGTCACACTGCATCTATCGATGGACTGTCCACTATTCTACAGGTCGGTTCCATGCCTCAAGTTCAAATCAGTTCATCATCCCGCTTACGTAGTAACTGCCCAGCTTGCGCACATTAAACATTTTACTGAACCTCTGACTGCGTTTGTGCACTCATCGGACATTGAATTGAACGACACCACACATTCGTTCTATGACGCCCTTCAAATGCGACTCTTGCACTCGGCTGTAGACAATCAAGATCTGCTGTCGTCCGATCACGACCCGTTCGATGCAGATGGATTGCTTCACTCCGTTGACGCGGCACGTGCAGAGTTCCAGCGTAAACTCCAAAGATTCCGTGCTGGATTCTGCGTTGCTCGAACGGTGCAACAGGTAGCACTTGAGAAGCAAAAGTTTAACAGGACTAGGAGTCAAAATAGCTTGACATTTGCGAGTACCGTGCTACGCGGACGAGCTTCCAGAGATGTTCATTATCTTGGGCTAGTGGTGAAGTTCGTTTTCTGTTCCTATTCTAAATATCAATTTACTCACAAGAGTGTAGGAAGCTATCTGGGGGCCAATTGCGCACACTCCTGGAACGACTCTATCATTTCTTTGAAAAACTGGAGACTTCTGATTGCATTGAGGGAGAAGAGGATGCCAGATTGAAGATTCATGGCATAATGGCGCAGTTTCCTCAAGACACTCTTAATATCAATGATTCTCAGTACGATATGGATATGGGTGGGCGACCGCTAACTAAGGATCCTGCTATCGTGCAACTGGCCGATGCGTTGGGCGAGTGGTTGGTAACATATTTAGAGTGGGTACAGTTCAGTCTTTACTCGAATGAGCGAGCTCAAATCATGCCATCAGAGAAAGGTTTGTTCGATTAGATGAGGGGCCACTCTGGGACGTCTGGTATATGGGCTCGACCCCGTTTCCGTCTGAGGTACGAATTCGGCTTCAGTATTCGACAAATGGTGAACTCATCGACGTCGGTGCGCAGCTTATCAACCCAGCACCTCGAGTCACTATCGTCTCTGCTTTAGCGCACCCTTACGATTTTGCGCACGCACACACTCAATTCCTTCGTTCACACTCTCAACCACACTTTACAACCGGTTTGAGCAGACTAGATAAAGAAAACAGTCGCAAACTGGCTTTGTGGGAGCTGCCAGATACCAGCATGCTCTTTCGGCGTTATATAGAAGCCGGGCGGATGATAAACATCTACGACTGGTTCCAATCTTTCGTCGTCGTACTCGAGGACCAGCGGCGACGCCTTCGTCGGTTGGATCAAGGTGGTCACGCGAGGGGTAGAGTGTCACCTGCTGCAAATTTGAGCAGGCAAGGCAAGGCTCCGGAACGCGAATTTCTACAGATGGAGATTGATGGGGAAGATGATGAGGATCCACTTCCAGGAGATGAGGATGGGGATGATAGCGAAGAAGCGCAAGAGTGGCTGCTGGAAGTGCAGGCACGTTTCATACGGGCTTTGCATGAGCTTGAGCATATGGGCTTCATCAAGCACACGGGTCGAAAGGCGGACCATGTCATTCGGACAGTATATGATGCAACGGACTAGGTATGATGCGTTCACTATTGGTGACGGTAATCAATATCTGCATATGCATAGACAGTGTACAATACTAATGGAGGTAATGTGACAAGTTTCAATACACCAAGTGTTAACATTCTCTATGATAAATGAGGTTGGAAAAGTGTATACGTGTAAGACATCTTATACACCAGATGGACAGGAAAGAGGGTAGGGAGTAACAGAAGTGTTTACAACAGCGCGCCCACCAGTAACACAAGGGTAATGCCTCCCACACCTTCCCAGCGTCCTATTCGCGGAAGACTCGCGCTGTTGACAGCCTGGCCATTGAGTCCAGCAGCTGAAGGCGACGGGTTTGTAGTTGCTGATACTCTCATGGGAACGCTTGCCCTCGGTGTAGGCATCGGTACATTAGATGGATTCGTTGCTGCATTAGTGGATGTTGATGAGTTCGGTGCGCCAGCGATCGCTTGCAAGGTTGAAAGACTTCCGTTCATGCCCGTAATTCTATGCAAGCCACGCAATTAGGGATGCGAGAATTATACTGTGAATGACGAACGCACGTGAATGGGGAAGAGAATGCTTCCGCAGGGTATGCAGAGTTATTCGCGTCTCTCAGCTTCAAAGATTCGAACCGGATAAAACTTTGCGTCGTTAGTCGAATGAACACATCAGTACGATAGATGGGGCTCTCACTAGGACCCGCTAGGACCTGCAGCCGGATTGGGAGTGAACAATATAGATGCGGTGGTATACACGTTGACACTGGAGACGATCTCCTGCATTGACGTCTGGAGCCAAAATGTATATTGAGGCACAGCCTGAATAGTGGTGGCTATCAGGGGGACTCACTTGTTGCTGCTCGTTCCCTGAATAGATGGAGACCTTTGAGTTCCCGAAATCCTGAAGCGAGGGTGGGACTCCATCGTCCTTCCAAGAAATAGTTTGATTCTGTCCGGCTTGCCAAACAGTGTCCTGTACGGGATATGTAACCTGGTCACGAAGAAATGTCAAAGTGAAACCCTCCCACAGACGAATACCTCATACATAAACACCTGCATACGTTGGGGGAATCAGGACGGCGCAGAGTGCTATGGCCAGTGCAACGCCTGCGAGCATGACCAAAGACTAGATAATGAGCGCAAAAGGGGAATTGGCGGAAAGAGGATAAAGGCGTCGGTCGAGGGAGAATAAAGTTACGAGAACACTTCTCGGTTGCACCAACATCTCGATCACACAGGTGTTGAGATCGGGGCAAGTGCCAGAGAATGAGAATCTTGCCACTCGCACGGTCTGGCTCATGGAATGCGTACACCGGGTGCTTGTAAACACCACTACACACTGCTGTACAACGGTGTACGACATTTGTCGTTGCGGGTTCCTGCGGTCTGAACGAGAAAGAATCGCAACGTGCCTGCAGAGCCAAACGAGACAAACCTTTCTGCTATTTACAAATTATGTTTCAGCGCAAGCCGCGAACAGGCTGCATAGCGTGTATTTCAGGGCCTTCGAGTTGACATGTTATATATCCCCAATTCAAGTTCAGAGCGATTGAACTCAAGTTCAACTTGGAGAAGACATCCATTTTGGGACTCCAGAAGGAGTTACATAAGTGATCTCCACCTCAGCTTTCAAGCGCTCGCTCTTGGCTGCCTTACACTGCGTCCGCCAGCTACCTTTGGGCTTCCTCTTATTTTTCTGCGACTCGTCCGCGGATACACTTACGGCTATACGCACTGAAATGGAGAACGTCTCTGAGGCTGCAGAAGAGTTGGTCGGGACCTTGGCTGGTACTGAGGAGGCCGATGCGCAGACGGGCGAGGGTAGCAAGATGACATTGGAAGAGAGGAAGGCAAGGATGGAGCAGCTCAGGCAAAAGATGGTACGTGAAATGCGGATAATATCGTGTTTATTTACGTTGACCTTCCAATGTAGCGTACATCCGCTCTTGCTAACCGCAAGTCTCTGATCGAAGAAAGCACGAAGGCGAAAGTCACGGCCCGGGACGCTGCACGGCTAGAACGTCAACGAAAACTTGCTGAGGTCTTGCGTCAGAAGGCAGATGCTGAGGATCGTGGCGAGGATGTCGAGCGGCAGAAAAATTGGGAGTGGACCATAGAAGAGAACGACGAGTGGGAGAAGAAGAAGGCACGTAAAGCGCGGCGAGCGGACTTTGAGTTCAACAGTGCGTCTTTTGTCCCTTTACTGCCTCACAGAGTCTCAGAATTACAGGCGGACGACTTCTGATCCTTATGCTCTCTTCATAGACGATGCCGACGCCGCACGAAGGCGGTACAAGAAGGATCTAGATCTAATCAAGCCTGACCTCGATGCATACAACAGGCAGAAGGAATTGGCGCTAGGACTGGCACCGGGAGCTCTGGCCAAATCCGGCAACAGCTCTTCTCCGCTCAACAGTTTCGACCCTGGTGCGGGCTCATCGTTGCAAGTATGTAACATACAATAATGGGGTGCCAGTTTAGCTTACGCATGTCACATTCTTAGGTCCTTCCCACAAGCGAGCAGCAACGATTGGCAGCGGAGTATTTGTATCGTGATGCTAACAGCCTGCTGTATGCGGACAACAAGCCGAGTGAAGAAGCAATAGATCGTGTTATCAGCAAAATCAACCAAGAGTGTGTCTCATACTCCCGTTGTGTACGACTTTCCTGACGCGCTGTACAGCATTGACAAGAAAAGCAAGTTTTCGAGGAAGAGGCACAACGAGGACGAAGGCGATATTACGTATATCAACGAACGGAATCGTGTGTTCAACAAAAAGGTACGTTTTTCCAATCTTGTACCAGTATAGCATTGTTTGACCCTCTACGACAGATCGCACGGTATTATGACAAGTACACTGCCGAAATTCGCGCGAGCTTTGAACGCGGAACAGCATTATAGATATGACATGATCCCTTCGTCCCACACCACTGCACGCGCTATCACACTTATATCTAAGACTTCGTTTGTAATGTACACATTGTGGATTATCAGTGTAACTATAAGCTCCACCACGACAGCTATTGGTAAGGCATATGCTAGGAACAGGATCAGATTATAGGCAGGCATGAATGTCAAACATACAGCTGAACCACAAAAATGTTGACCCAACGTCGACAAGTCGGTCGACAGCTTTGCAAGCAAGGTACGACCGCCACTGGTGGGGTGCGTATCACCATTGTCTCGTGTCCTCACCAGGCCAATCGAAGTGTAACAAGCCATGTTCACATGTCTGGCTATTCAAATGAGCTTTGTTGGCTCTTGGGCTGATGGAGGCTTTGTATTCAGATGAGCGACAGTTGCTGGTCATACACAGACGGCATACCTTATGTTGAGTTCCAGATTGAATTCTACCCGCCACCTCTAGCACCACCTCGACCACGACCCCTTCCTCTCGGTCTTCCCCCGCTTCTAGGACTGGTGGCTTCCTCATGCCCATGAACAGACTCGCCACCGGCTGAAGTCCCAAGGATCTTTGGCGGTGTAGGCTGTCCGTCGCGCTGCATGATCAACGGCGCCGGAGGGGCAGCTCTATTGGATGGAACCCGCTGCGAGCTGGGAGCGCTCGATGCGCCGCGCCGCTCCTCCCGTGGTCTGCTAGGGCCCTTGACATGAGTGTCTGCAGCGCCAGTAGGAGTAGCTGAGACTATGTCGTTGGACTCTTTCTCCTTGGCTTTCTCCTTCTCGCGTTCTCTGCGGGGCCGCCGCTCGCCGCTACTGACGGGCATCCCTGCACCGCTGAGTGCAGCCTCGAACTGACGCGAACCGAGGCCCAGCATAGGACGCACGCGGCGAGTTGCAGCAGGTGGAGCGGCCGCTGAAGAGTCGGTCTGGGCTGTTGATACGCCTTCAGAGCTGTGTGCAGTGGGCGCGGAGGGGCCTGTTGGTGCGGCTAAGGGAACAGGGGGTTTGGGATGACGCTCGCGTGGAGGACGCGGTGCCTTGGGTGGGGTTGCTGGCGTCGATTGTACCTTCGGCTGCGCACCTGTAGCAACTCCGTGAGCAGGCGCGTTGGACGAGGCAGACTGCTGAGGTTGGTGCTGATGCGCTGCTTTCCCCACAGCGGCAGGCTTCTTCGTGGACTTCTTGTTCCCCTGAGCCTCGGCATGTTTGGTGGCAGTCGCGGGGCCAGGAGTAGCAGCACTTTTCTTCTTTGCGTCGTCTTTTTTCGCCGATGCACTTTGCGCTGGATTGTGGTCCTTGTAGTGTGCATGGTTTCGGAGGATCGCCTCCTTGTCCTTCAGCGCAGACTTCTCAGCCTTCAACGCCTCCAATAAGGGGGTAGTGGTAGGTTGAGGAGGAGGCTGTGATGCAGCGACTATGATGCATAATAAGTAGATACAATAGAGCGCATAGTTATTCGCGCTCACGTAGTTGATCATAATTGTCTATATCAGATTGCTTCGCAGACCCATCTTGCAAAGATGCCAGAAATGAGACGTAATCTTCGTCTTAGAATACATGTAAGCTCGGCGACGACACTCAAGGCTGTGGTGGGATGAAACGCACCTTTCTCGATTGTTCCCATCCTCCCGTCCGCCTTTTTCTTCTCAGATGGTACTTTTTGAAATGGAGCGAACTCCACCACGGCGACGGACTCGTTACCTTGAAGCAACATAGGATGAGGCGAGCAGAACCGCAACAAGTATGTCCATACCTGCTTTATCTCTAAATAGATGTCCGTCGTATTCCCTACTGAAGTTTGCCAAAAGCTCCTCGTCCTTAAACACAATGTATGCGCGCGAAGGTATATTTTCCTTGTTCAACCTACCCAATATGTTACAAATAGCGATGGTGTAGATCAATGACCAGACTGACCGTTTTCTGAACTTGCCCTGGTGATAAGATTTCCACGTAGCCGTTTCGGCCGTGACCCACTGCTGGACACTCTGCCAGAAGATGTCCTCGGGGAGATTGGGCGGTAACCTACGAACGACTGTCTTGAGGCGTTCCGTCTGCTGCTTGGGTACCATTTTGACTCTCTTCTCTCTCTCCTTGTCTCTCGCCTTGATCTTGGAATTTGGACTAGTTGTTGGCTTCATGGCCTGCTCATTTGGAGACATCGAATCAGCAGATAGATTGCACAGCTCGAAGAAATGGTCGTCTACTCCCGAACAGTGAGGTCAACAACTTGATAAATGCAAGCACACACACAAGTCCTTGTTTTTGGTAAACGCGGGGCGAGCAGATGCGATAAAGCCAGGTTCACGGCAGTGGGATCCCTCTGTCGAAAGCATTTGCTCACGATCGCGCGCGCACTCCGCTAAGAATAGAAGGTCATCGCGGACGCCGAGACAAGCGCTTGTGACTCTGACTCCGAGCGAGGCAAATCGACTTACGATTCAACGGATACGAATACCGTAGGTTAAAGTGCTTCCCCACGTCGAACACACTCCCGTATTCAAGACGTTCTGACTTTCCAGTCGCATTCAAATGCAGTTTCCGATCGTATCAGGGACGCTAGTACAAATTTCAGAAATCCTATAGTAAATTTATCGTGAACTTGGAGCCGGGAATCTAGGCCGCTGTGCTTGGCGGTATTTCATTATAGACCCAAGTTGTATCTCGTGGTAGCGTGGTCAGCTTTGTCAGCCTGAGGTATCAGGAAGATCAGCCATATATAAGCTAGACAATGGTCAAGCCGGTCAGGACTCAAGAGTTTGAAATCCGTTACTTCAGACAATGGATATCGAACAGTTAGCAGAATGCAGTACATCTTTCAATATTGAGCCACTGACGTCTACGTTCCAGGTTTAGAAAGGCTGGATACCAGGCGATCGATAGAATATGCGACTACTATAGTACGCTCCAACAGCGCCCCGTAGTTCCCCCCGTCCAACCAGGATATCTTCTCCGGTCGCTTCCTGGTATGTAGTGATTGGACCTTCGAGAAGGCTCATATGCACTCTCGATTTGCCTAGATCGTCCCCCGGAAGCCGGGGAAGACTTTGATGTCATTGCCGATGATTACCAGAAGCTCATCGTCCCCGGTGCGAATCACGGTAGCATTACTGTTCAGCAATAGTCTGGTCTAATTTTTATCTCCACAGGTTTAACACACTGGCAGCATCCGTCCTTTTTTGCTTACTTTCCGACGGCATGTACTTTTGAGGGCATGCTCGGCGATTTATATGCCAGTAGCACATGTAATCCTGGCTTCAACGTCTGTGCCCCTCCATCAATTCTATCCTAGTGCTGATATAGTCTCGCTCAGTGGTCAAGTAGCCCGGCTTGTACAGAGCTTGAGATGATGATGATGGACTGGTCTGCTAGACTCCTTGGGTTGAGTGACCATTTTCTAAACAGTTCCGGGGTGGGTGGCGGGGTCCTTCAGGTAATTTGTATGAATAGGTATATTGGTTTCTCAGCTAATGAATTATAACTTGTTACAGACCACATCGTCCGATTCCGCTCTTGTCGCAACCGTAGCAGCGAGATCCCGTTATATGCGCACGCATCCTGGTACCAAGATGGAAGAGCTTGTGATGTATGTCACATCGCAGACCCACTCGCTCGGTGTCAAGGCAAGCTTAGTTCTTGGACTAGAGTGCCGGATTCTGGATGTGCGCGCGGAGGACGAGTTTGGACTTCAAGGAGAGACGCTCAAGGTTGCATTAGAAGAGGATATAGCCAAGGGAAAACATCCATTCTTTCTAAGTGAGAAACAATGAAACTGCAAAATAATTCACAAACTGACAAAGCCCCTAGTCGGCACGGTTGGAACCACCTCATCTGGCGCCATCGACCGCTTAGAAGAGGTTGGCGAAGTGTGTGAGTGTGTATCCCCGGTATCTCATACTATGCTACATAATATTGTGCTTGACCAGTGCAACATTACCCTTCCATCTGGTTACATGTTGACGCCGCGTGGGCCGGTGTTACACTTGCCTGTCCTGAATATCGCAAGACTGCACAATTGGAACAAATCAACAAATATGCAACGTCATTCGGCACTAATTTCCATAAAGTGAATGATTTGCGCTTGAGACATGGGGTTCTTCACGGCTAACGCTTTCCAGTGGGGCCTGGTGAACTTCGACGCTGCTCTGTTGTGGGTCAAGAGTCGCAAGGATCTTACTGATGCGCTAGACGTCACTCCCGAATTCCTGCGAACAAAGCAGAGCGATGCGGGTATGTCGCTTCATAGGATTAGCGGCACCGCTTAATTTCTCCATGCGATGCAGGCGCCGTCATAGATTATCGCAATTGGCATCTTGGACTGGGTCGACGGTTCCGCTCTGTTAAAGTCTGGTTCGTCTTACGCAGCTATGGGGTGGAAGGATTCCAGAAATATATCCGCGAGGTAAGCGGCCGTTGAATTTATGTGATAACAAGTCTTATTCACCTGCTGTATTGACAGTGTATCGAACTTAACGATTATTTCGCCTCTCTCGTCAGATCGTCCACCAACTTTTCCTTGATCGCAGCTCCATCCTTTGCTCTCACGGTTTTCCGGCTTATTCCCCACAATGCCTTTCCTGGTGTGACTCTGAGTGAGGACTTGCTTAACGACATCAACCGCTCCATGTATGCACGGATTGGCGCGCGACACGACATCCTACTCACACAGACGATACTGAATGGAACGTTCTGTATCCGTTTCGCTGTTGGTGCGGCACGGACTCGAAAGGAGCATTTAGACCAAGCATGGTCATTGATTCAGGAGGAAGCCGGGTCCACCATCGAAGAATGGGCGGAGAAACTCGCAGCGGGAAAGAACTAAAGAACGCAGGTGTGGCTCGGTGCGCTACAGTATCGGATCTGTACAGAGACATAAACTGATTGGATTTGATTTTGTTCAAATATCCAGCATCTACCACGTTTTCATGTAATGATTATATTCAGGTAGCCTATCTCAGTAGTGCAGAACAAAGGAACGACATTCAACACCATGAGCATGTACAAAGGGCGCAACGCAAAATGTACAAGTATAACAATCCGGTAAGTATAGAGCCAAAAAAACCGATCATCCTTCAGCCATCTCCATATTTCTTGACCGGGACACAGAAGACTATGTCCATCCCGTCCTTCTCTTCCCTATATACAGCGTTCTTGCAGAATCTACCTCAATCTGATTGCGTGTTTGTGAATCAGGGAGTAGGTTCTTCACAATGCTAATATTTTCGCCTCGGAA